TGGGGATGACCAGATTCTTTCGCCCCATGAGGTCGCCTCCTCGCTCTGCCACGACTCGCTCCTGCCAAACGAGGTCCGCCGCTGGGAGGCAAAGTCACCCGCAAAATCGCTTCCAAAGTCGGAGCTGCGCGCGTGCTGCAGCGGCGGCGGCGGCGGCGGCGGCAGCGGCGGCGGCGGCGGCGGCGGCTTCGAGACGAGCTGCTCCTGCGGCGCGACGCGCGGGTCGTCTCGGGCAATCTCGGGGCAATCTCGGGGCAATCTCGGGGCATCTCGGCCATCATTGGGCCATCTGGGCTCATCTCTCGGGGCAACCTCGGGTCATCTCGGGTCATCTCGGGCCATCCCGGGCATCACAATCTCGGGTAATCTCGGCTCATCCCGGGCATCACAATCTCGGTCATCTCGTGGCCCCCTCTCGCTCCTCCACGCCCTCGAACGAGGAGGCGCGCCGCCGCTGCTGCCGCGCCTGGGAGCCGGGGGGGGGCGGGTGGGGGGGGCGGGGAGGGAGGTGTGAGGAGATGTGGGGAGGTGTGTGTGCGGGGGCGCGCCGCCGCCGCTGCCGCGCCGAGACGAGAGGAGTGGAGGCGGTGCGTACCTCCCCACATCTCCCCACATCTCCCCACATCTCCCCACATCTCCCCACATCTCCCCACATCTCCCCATACCTCCCCACACCTCCCCATACCTCCCCATACCTCCCCACACCTCCCCAGATCTCCCCAGACCTCCCAGACCTCCCCAGATCTCCCCAGATCTCCCCAGATCTCCCCAGATCTCGCGCCGAGACGAGCAGCGAGTCGGTGGCCGCGGCGTGCTGCTGCAGCGAGTGGGGCGAGCCCTAAGGGGGTAGAGGGGGCGGGGTAGCGGGGGCGGGGTAGCGGCGGGGGGTAGAGGGGTGAGGTAGCTTGGGGGAGAGGGGTGGGGTAGCGGCGGGGGGTAGAGGGGTGAGGTAGCTTGGGGGAGAGGGGTGGGGTAGCGGCGGGGGGTAGAGGGGTGAGGTAGCTTGGGGGAGAGGGGTGGGGTAGCGGCGGGGGGTAGAGGGGTGAGGTAGCTTGGGGGAGAGGGGTGGGGTAGCGGCGGGGGGTAGAGGGGTGAGGTAGCTTGGGGGAGAGGGGTGGGGTAGCGGCGGGGGAGAGGGGTGGGGCATAGCGGCGGGGGAGAGAGGGGTGAGGCGTAGAGGGCGGGGTAGAGACGCAGAGAGGCGACCAATCCATCACGCCAGAAGTGGCCTGCTACCACCAGTGGCAAGGCGCCGGTGCGCGCGCGGCGTGGGCGAGGCGCGCACACACCTGCACGCCGCTCCCCCGGGGCGCCTCCCCCAAAGAGGAGGTGTGCTCGCTGCAGCGGTCTCGAATCGGCGGCAGCGCGCCGCCACTCGCAGCCCGCCGCGAGAGGGGCGGCGGCGCGGCGTGGACCTGTTCACGGGAGGAGAGGTGTGAAGAGACGCCGTTCACAGCTCGGCGAGGGAGGCGGCGCGGCGTGGACCGACGAGCGACCGCCGCCGCCTTGAACGCGACGACAGCGTCCGTCGGCTTCGAGTCGCGGCCTCCACCTCGCCGGCAGCTCCGACAGGGACCGCTGAGCGGCGCCGGGAGGACTGTCCCGCTGACACGACGGCGCAACCGCGGAGGTGGCGCGGCTGAGGCGGCGGCGCGGCGACGGAGGCGCCAGCCGCTGCAGCAGGGACGTGCTCAGGGGAGCCGGGGAGCCGCCGGAGCGCCCAGCGAGGCCGGCGCTGCCGGGGCGAGGCCGCTCGAGGTCTGCAACGAGCGCTTGCGACGCCTTTGCGGAAGCGGCCGCCGCCGCCGAGGCGCGGCGAGCCGCCGCCCACGCGACCGCCGAGCAGTACGACGGCCCGCCGGCATCTTGGTCCGCCGATGCCCACGATGCTTCGGCGTCGGACGCGGACGACCGGACAGAAGCGGTGGCCGAGGCGATGCCATCGCCGTCGCCGGCGTGCGCCCTCTCCCACGCGGCTGCCTGCGCCGCCGCCTCTGCTGCGGCAGCAGCCTCGGCAGCAGCCTCGGCAGCAGCCTCGGCCGCCGCCGCCGCCGCCGCCGCCGCCGACCCGGGGCGGAGCTGGGCAAAGAGGGAGCCCGTACCGCGAGACGAGCGGGTCGTGGACGACGAGGACGACCAGACGCCAAATCGACGCCTCGTCGGCGACAAGACGTGCTCTTGCGACTCCGCACCACGAGCTGGAGGCTCCATCGACAGGGCGGGGAGGGCGAGGGGTGAGGAAACGGGCAACGACTCACTTCGAGGCTTGCACTTCGGCGGTGTTCATCCGCCTCTTTTTGACGGCGTCAACATTGCAAAAATTAAAAAATCACACGGATATGACAATCTAAAACTGTGGCCACACAGGACACCCACGCTTTCAAAATCACGGGTGTCGGCTCAGTATTTCAGAATTTCACGGTCGCACCGCCCCGAGACTCCGAGACCCTGGGACCTGAGACGTCGAGAGACGGGCGAGAAAGTAATCTCAGACAGAGACACATCCCGGATAAGCCCGCACGCTCGCCATCGGCGCCACCGCCTCCCACGCATTCGCAGCCGGGACATACCGCTCCACCGAGTTTAGGTGGGCGTTGTTGTGGCCGCTGTGGGCGCCGCCCACAGCATACAGCGTGCCGTCGAGCACCGCCACGCCATGAATGTGTCGCGCTCTCGTCATCGGCACCACTTCTTCCCAGACGTTCGTCATGGGATCGTACCGCTCCACCGAGCCAAGGGCGCCATTGTTGCAGCCACCCACAGCATAAAGCTTGCCGTCGAGCACCGCGACGGCGTGAGAAAACCGCGCCGTCGCCATCGGCACCACTTCCTCCCAGACGTTTGTCACGGGGTCGTACCGCTCCACCGAGCCAAGGGCGCCATTGTTGATGCCACCCATGGCATAAAGCTTGCCGTCGAGCACCGCGACGTCCTCATGCCGCGTCTCTGCCATCGGCGCCACCTCCTCCCACGCGTTCGTCGCGGGATCGTACCGCTCGACCGAGCTGAGGGCGCCGTCGTCTTCGTTGACGCCGCCCGCAGCGTACAGCCTGCCGTCGAGCACCGCCATCCCAAACTGTGCCCGCGCCGTCAGCATCGACGACACCGCCTCCCACGCGTTCGTAGCCAAGTCGTACCGCTCCACCAAGTTGGCAGTTACGAGGACAGCCTGATTCTCTAGTTGGCCGCCCGCGGCGTAGAGCTTGCCGTCGAGCACCGCCATGCCGGCATAGTTTCGTGCCGTCGGCATCGGCGCAACAGCCTCCTCCTCCTCCCACTCATTTGTGGACGGGTCGAACCGCTCCAGCGAGTTGAGGCGCTCGCCATCGCCGCCGTAGCCGCCGATCACGAGCAGGCGCGGCCTCTCGCGCTTCTTCAGCGCCTCCTTCCAGCCGCGGCGCCACGCGCGGCACGTCCCCTTGGCGGCGTGCTCCGTGGTCGGCAGATGAGCGAGGATGTGCGGGGCGAGGTCCGGAGAGAGGAGGACCTCGGAGAGCACCCACTCGGGCTGCTCCACGAGCCGTGCGGCGTGCTCCTCCGCCACACGCAGCGCGGCGTCGCTCGCGCCCGACTGCGCCTCGATGATGGCGCACAGCTGCGCTGGCGAGAGGCCCGCGACGCGCGCGCCGATGCGGTGCGAGGCCATCGGCGCTGGGTCGGGGCCATATTTCTTTTTTTCGATTTCTTCTCCTCGCGCTTCCTGCGAGTCTACGGAGAAATCCCCTGTAGAAATTCCATAAGGACCCCAAAACCAGAGGTTGGATTTCGCTTTCAAGGGCGTGCGGTACTCTGAAGTCACCCTGCAAAAAGACTTGTCCTCGCCGCAGAAAGAACAAGCAGGATCTTTGGCCTTGCAAACGACACCGACGGGACTGGCGCGCACTGGCACTAACACAGGTACACCGTAAAAAGAATTGATACTCCACAACTCGAAGAGGACGGCCGCAAAACGGCCCGACGACCCTTTGCGACGCGCAGCACTTCATGAAATTCCATGGTCCGACTGGGGTTGCGGTGGTCTACCTCTCCGTCTTCATCGACATGTTCGGCGGACTGATGGCGGTCCCTGTCATGCCTTTCATCATCAAAGAGAACCTTGGCTGCCTCGGCGCCAAGGACACTTCCGATGCCTCTGCGCGGGATTTGTTTCCGCCGCCCTCGCCTGCCGCGTGCATCCCTTCCGCTGAGGAGGACGGCATCGAGACGCGCGACGTCGGGCCGGAGGAAGATAGCTGCGGGGACGATGCCCCCAGAATATTGGCCGCCGCTTCTGCGCTGTACCAGTTTGCTTCCATCTTCTCGACACCGGCGATGACAAAGCTGAGCGACAAGTATGGACGGCGGCCCTTCTTTATGGTCGGCTTCCTAGGCTCCTGCCTCGGCTTTTTTGTCATCGGCTTCTCTGGCTCCAACACCGGCCTGCTCGCCGGCCGCTTCATCGGAGGGCTCTTCTCCGCCTCCCCGGTGCCTCGCGCCCCGACCATCGCTGAGCATCCCCGGACCTCCGGCCACCAGCTCACGTGAGCTATCGCCTCCCCCTCAGCCTCTCGCGCAAGCCTACATCTCCGACGCCTTCCCGCCTGACAAGTCGCCTCTCTACCGCGCGCGGCTCGGCTCCGTCTTCCAGGCGGCTCTTCCCACTAAGCCCTCTCTCCCGCGGCCTTCCTCAGCTGGTACCCCGTCCCTAGGCGGCTCTCATCTTTGGGCCCGGTTTTGGCGGCGGCCTCTCGCAGTTTGGCAACGCGTTCCCCTTCTACGTTGCGTCCGGCTTGGCCATGTGTGGCTTCCTGCTCGGTCTCTTCTACCTGGTCAGCCGCCGTCCCATTTGCACCCGTGCCATTTGCACCCGTGCCCCTCCACGCCACCCGCCACCCTAGCGCCACCTGCACGCGCCTAGGACGAGCCTCCAAGAAGCGAAAAGAAGACCGACGACAAGGGCCCCGCCGACGGCGGGCGCGCCACCTCGGAGCTGGCGCAGGCCAAGGCGCCCATCATCCGCTGGCTCTTCGCGGCGGGCTTCCTCGTCAATTTCGGGTTCCGCGTCTTCATGATGATGTTTGGTCTGTGGCTCTTCGACAAGGCGCGCGCCCCAGACCCGACCATAGGAGCGGCTCAGCTCTGGAGGCAGGTCGATGCCACCCCCAGCGCATCCAACTCGCCCCGCGCTGCTCGCAGTTTGGATGGGGCGCGGGCGAGTTTGGATTTATCACCTCAGTCACCGGCTCAATTGGTACAGCCCGGAGCGTCACGCCGCTCGCGCCGCCCGCAAGATCACCCCCCCCCCCCTCCCCGTGCCTCCCCCGCTGCGCTCAGGCATCTTTGCCAACCTCGCGCTTTTCGCCAAGCTGGCACAAAAGTACGGCAAGCACCAGGTGGCAATCCTGGGCGCGACGATGGCGAGCGCGGGCTGGGCGATCTGCCTCCTCTCCCGCACATCGGGCCCATGCGATGGCAGGTTCCCCATTCCCATGCACACTCGTGGCAAGATCCTTTATTCGGACCTATCAGCGCACACCGCAGGTTCACGCTCGACGGCGGTATGGTCTTTATCATGGGCATGTCAATCGGACATGCGATCGGTGAGAGAGTTCTATCCGAGACGGAGCGGGACAAAGGTCAAAGCCGAATTGAAGCGTCAGCTTGGACTAATGAGATTACGCCACCGCCCTCCCACGCCCTGCTACAGCGCTTCGCCCACTTGCGCCCAGGCTTCACCTTTTACAACACGGGCTATACGACGCTGCTCTCACTTTACGCGGACAAGAACTCACAGGGAGCGGTGCAGGGAACGTCTTCCTCCATCCAGGCGAGAGGGGGGGCTAGCTCCGGGCCTCGGCCGGTGCGTGGCGGCCTTTCCGTCACCTTACTTCACCTCTCATCCTCAGGCGATCGCCGGCTTCATGGGCCCAATCGTCGGAGCCTGGCTGTACACGCAGTGGAAGTGGGAGCTACTGCCCATCTTCCCCTCCTGCGGCGAGCTAGCTGTAGACGAGACGCGGGAGAGCCGAGACGAGATGAAAGATCGGATCTCTCCAAAGCCTTCTCCCCCTTCCCTCCCGAGACCCTCTACTCGTGCCGCTGACAGGCTTCCTGTGCGCCGCCCTCATCGTCTACCGCGTCCTCCTTCTCGACCGGCAGTTGCCGGGCGCCGCAGTCGACGAGCCGGCCGGGGCAGCCCTCGCTGAGCCCGAGGAGGACGAGAAGACCGCCTCGCAGAAGGGTCTCGCGCCACTGCCACTGACGGCGAGCGAGCGCGAGGAGCTCGAGACGCTCCGAAAGAGGGTCCAGGAGCTGGAGCGGGTGCTGGGCGGCGTGGCGGACGACCTGATGCTCTCGCCCGAGCAGATTCAGGCGCTCGACCTGAGTCAGTGCCGCCACAGCCGCCGCGTCGCGCAGGACCCGAGGCTGACGTTGCACTGAGAGCCGCCGGCCCAGGCCATTGGCATTGCTGCACTGTACATCTGGACCCGTCAGCTTCGAGCTTGTCTGCCGAGAAAGAGTGGGGCGGGGAGGAGGCATGGGGTCCGCGGGGGCCGGCCTCAATATCGAGCACGCGAGGACTTTCTTTTTTCAGGTGCGTTGGCGGTTGAAAGTAATATATCTTTACTTCCCGCAACACCCGGACGTTCCCAGGGTGATGGAAGGTTCGACGCGCACCCCCGGACTGGGCAGAGAGGTCCCAGGAAACAAAAAGGCCTGGGCTGTCCACCCCGCCCCCACTTGCCCTGACTGCACAGGATAGCGTGCCCCGACGAACGGCGACACATAGCGGGGGGGACACTGCGCCGGGGGGTATGCCTAACTTTGGTGCTTTGTGTGGGTCGCGTTCCAATGGTAGCTGTGTGGCTGAAACCCTCGGGGACGCCACCACCCTCGCCCAGGGATCTACAACGCTGTCTTAAGGTCCGACCTGTGGGCTCTGCCTGCGCTCGGCACCGGGCACCGCCTCGGTATACAAAATGCGCCTGCGGGCGGACCCTCACAGATCACAGATCACAGATCACAGTACCGGATCCGGGAGGCGGCGGGCGGACTGGACGAGTACGATTACAGTACGGTTCGGTGCATGAGGGCTTTTCTGTCCGGGGGGTGGGGGCGGGGGGCGGGCTTTTGTCGGTTGGAGTCTGGAGAGTGACTCAGTGGTGCGCCGTGCGCCGCAAAGCACCTCATAGCACGCGTGCGGGGGTATCTCAGTCTGTCGAGTGTCCACTGTAAGGTAAGGTAAGGTAAGGTAAACTTCTCCACACACACGAGGTGGTGGGGCAAGGGGGGGCAACCCTCGCGTCTCCACGTCTAACGACAGGAGCCCCACGGCATTCAAAGTGCAAGGCCCGGTGCGCGTGTGTGTGTGTGTGTGTGTGTGTGTGTGTGTGTGTGTGTGTGTGTGTGTGTGTGTGCGGTGTGTGTGTGTGTGTGTGTGTGTGTGTGTGTGTGTGTGTGTGTGTGTGTCACGTCACTGCATCCTCCGCCGGTTCCTCGTCGCTTTTTCTTTTTGTTCGAAAATGTTTTTCAATCCATTCCTTCACGAAGCCACTCTGTCCATAGTGCATAAACAATACACTGACGTGTACGGCCGCAGCTCTTATTTTGCGTCACGCACCTATGTTTTCGAAACTGTGTGGCGCTGGCCACGACACACGTCGAGCCCAGCGGTCCTCAACGCTCAAGGCCCAACCGCGGCAGTTCCGAGAGACCCTGCACCCACCCCGCTCGACCGATCGCGATCAAGCCCGCGCCTCTTCCCACTCCCGGATCTGCCGGCGCACCATGTGGTTGGGGGCGAGGAAGGTGTGCACGAGCGCCTCGCCCGTCATCGGGCTCGTCGACTTGGTCGCGAGCCAGCGCTCGATCGCCGACCGCTCGTAAGAATGCCCGTCCGCCGCCATCACCGGGTCACTCATGAGCTCGGTCGTGATCGGGCAGATGAAGTCGGCCGGCGGCTCCTCCTCCCTCGGAGCCGGCGCCTCTGCAGCCGAGGACGACCCTTGCGCCTCCGCCGCCCGCCTCCCCTCCTCCAGCCTCGCGCTCTCCTCGAGCGCCGCCGCAAGCTCCGCCTCCTCCGCCGCCGCCACCGCCTCCTCCGCCGCCTCCTCTGCCGGCGCCTCGGGCTCTTGCGACGGCCCAGCGCCGCCCCCGCCGCCCTGCTTCTTCTTCTTGCCCCTCTTCTTGCCCTTCTTCTTCTCCTCGGCGCACTTCTCCGACTCCTCCTCCGCCAGCAGCGCCGCCGCAGCCTCCTCGGCCGCCCTCTCGGCCTCCACCCTCTCTGCCGCCGCCCTCTCGGCCACTGCCCTCTCCACCTTCGCCTCAATCTCCGCTCTCTTCGCCTCCCTCGCCGCCGCCTCAAAGGCGCGCTCGCACTCGGTGTGGCCCTTCTCCTTGGCCAGCTGCAGCGCCGTACGCCCGGCCGAGGTGCGCGCCGCTGCGTCTGCGCCCGCCCGCAGCAGGCAGAGCACGACGGCGGAGTGGCCCTGGTAGCACGCCATGTGCAGCGGCGTGAAGCCCCCGTCCTTGGCTTGGTTGACCGCCGCGCCGGCCCCGAGGAGCAGCCGCACGCACTCGAGCTGGCCGTTCTGGCACGCCATGAACAGCGGCGTGGCGCCATTCTGCTTGGCTTGGTTGACCGCCGCGCTTGCGCCGAGAAGCAGCCGCACGCACTCGAGCTGGCCGTGCTCGCACGCGATGTACAGCGGCGTGCCGCCGCTGTTCTTGGCTTGGTTGACCGCCGCGCTTGCGCCGAGGAGCAGCCGGGCGCACTCGAGGCGGCCATTCTGGCACGCAATGTACAGCGGCGTGGCGCCGTCATCCTTAGCTTGGTCGGCGTCAGCGTTGGCGCCGAGGAGCAGCTGGGCGCACTCGAGTTGGCCGTTCTCGCACGCGATGAACAGCGGCGTGAAGCCCCCGTCCTTGGCTTGGTTGACCGCCGCGCTAGCCTCGAGGAGCAGCCGGGCGGTGTCGAGGTGGCCCTGCTGGCACGCGATGAACAGCGGCGTGAAGCCGCCGTCCTTGGCTTGGTTGACCGCCGCGCCAGCCTCGAGAAGCAGCCGCACGCACTCGAGCTGGCCCTCCTGGCACGCCATGTGCAGCGGCGTGGCGCCGTTCTGCTTGGCTTGGTTGACCGCCGCGCCGGCCCCGAGAAGCAGCCGCACGCACTCGAGCTGGCCGTGCTCGCACGCTTGCCGCCGCTGTTCTTGGCTTGGTTGACCGCCGCGCTTGCGCCGAGGAGCAGCCGGGCGCACTCGAGGCGGCCATTCTGGCACGCGATGAACAGTGGCGTCGCGCCGGTGTCCTTGGCTTGGTTGATCGCCGCGCTTGCGCCGAGGAGCAGCCGGGCGCACTCGAGCTGGCCCTTCTCGCACGCAATGTACAGCGGCGTGGCGCCGTCATCCTAGCTTGGTCGGCGTCAGCGTTGGCGCCGAGGAGCAGCCGCACGCACTCGAGCTGGCCCTCCAGGCACGCGATGGCCAGCGCGGTGGAGCCACGGCCCGTCGTCGCCCCCACGCTCGCGCCGCTCTCGAGCAGCAGCCGCACGGCGTCGGCCTGCCCGTGCAGAGCGGCGATAGTAAGCAGCGTGTGCTTTTTCGCGGCCTCGAGGCGCGCGTCGAGCATGGCCGTGAGTGCCGGGCCGCGCGTCCACCCGGCGAGGAGGGCGCGCAGCGAGCCCAGGTCGCCCTGGCGAAGGTCGGCGAGCAAGGTCACGAGGCTGATGGCGCCGCTCATGGCGGCAGCGAAGAAGAATTCAACAAAAACAACTCTCTCGCACAGCACACAGGTTCGACACAGAAGAATCTTAGAGCCCTACAACAAAACTCCCTCGCACAACACTGGGCACGGGACTGGCGCGCACTGGCACTAACACAGGTACACCACGGGAGCCGCCTAAGCGACTCCTGCGAGGGTGGCGAGGCACTTAGCTCCGTGCACCCGCCCACCCCCGCCACGAAGAAGAATTAAACAGCCAACTCTCTCTCACAGCACAGAGCTCCCCCCTCGCTTTTGCAAAATCCTGCAAAGGTGGGGACGTGTCTGTCCTCGACCCAGCCCTAGCTTGGGATGTCCGTTGTATTTATTTATTCACAGAGCTCGACACAGGTGCGAACTGGCGCGTGCTAGTACTATCACCGGCACACGCGAAGAAGAATTTCCGGTCGGAGTGCAGTGCCTAGGCTCCCATACTTCCTTTGCCTGTTTTCTTTCTTTTTCTTACGGCTCCCGTGGTGTACCTGTGTTAGTGCCAGTGCGCGCCAGTCCCGTGCCGCCCAGTGTCGTGCAAAGAAGAATTTTACTTCTCTTCTTCCAAGACTGGGTGAGTGTTGTGCGGCGGCCCACAAAGGAGGCGAGGGAGAGGGGGGTATGTAGTAAGGTGAAGAACAGTCAGGCTCGGACTGGACACCAACGCGGTATGGGTGGACGCAAGACAGATGATGACGACACGCACGAGCGACACACAGACACAAACAAGCTCACAAGACACACAGCCAGCGGGCTGCCACACATCCTGAGTGGGCGTACACATCACTCAGGCCACGTCCCCCCTGTCGCCCCCCCCAGCACTCCAAGGTGCCAAGAGACAAACAACAGCACAACAACACAGACAGGCGACAGGGGCGAACGTGTGAGACTAGAGCAGGCTTGCTCCGCCTCTAGCAATCTCGTCGCCGGCCGCAAGGCACGGACGAGACCGTGTGTGGGGTCTTGTGAGAGGGGGGGGGGGGGGGGGCAGAGCGGGCTCGCGGGCGTGTGGGTGTGTAGGGCGGGGCGTGTGGGCGCTGGAAGCAACACGGAGCTCCGTTGGAGACGTTTTCAAGATTTAGCGTGTCAGAGTGAAATGGCACTAGCCCCTCCCCTTGTCAACCCTTGTTTCCTTTCTTCAGATCACACAGATAGATCTGTGTTAGGCATAGGGTATAGGCTATAGCAATAGGGAGTGTGTGGATCTCGAAATGGTTGCAACTGAAAAATCCTCCAAGCCCTGGGAGCCCTCCCCCTACTGTTTCTGGATTCTGCTATAGGAGCGAGACAAGAGCATGCCATCCATCGCCCGCGCGGGCTGAGCTCCGGCACATCATGACCGTGCCGCCCGTGGTCGAGTTGGCCTCAACGCGACAGGCACATGGACATGGCGTCCCCCATGCTGAAGCGGATCGGCTGTATATCCTCGGGCACGGGCCGCGTCCACATCGACTCCTCCTTGTGCTCACGCAGGACGTCCACCATGGCGGCGACGGCGGCCTTGGCGGTTCGATCGGGCGGCGACATGGCCGCCTGGATGCGCTTGAGATTGGGCTCCATCTGCGGCCGCTCGGCGGCCGCCTTGAGGATGAGATCTGCAAGCACGTCGGCCGAGTGGCGCGAAGCCAGGCGATACACCGGCGCCGACGCCCGCACGCGCGAAACCGAATTGATCGAACGCAAACGGGCACGCGATGATCGGGATGCCCGCGAGGAGGACCGCGGCAAACGTGCCCGCGCCCGCATGGCAGACGGCGCTCGCGCACCGCGGGAGCAGCATCCGGTGGTCGACGCTCGAAATCTCGAAGACGCTCGACTTGGCGAAGCTGAGCAGCTCTGCGGTGCCATCAGACGCCGGGTCGAGCTGATGCGTGCCAAGCTCCGCCCAGCCGGCCGCGAGCACGCAGCGCCCGCCCGCCTGCTTCACGGCCTGCGCGCACACGCGGGCAAAACGTGAGCCGGTGCGCAGCACACGTGAGAAACAGGGAAAGATGTTGGGGGGGGGGCTCGAGCCGACGACAAATGTCACCTGCAGCACGACCATCGTCACGTGGCGCGCGGCGAGGCGCATCGAGCCAAAGCCAATGTAAACGGGAGGTGGCCCTGCTGCGAGGAAAGCCTCGAGGTCGGCGGGTAGCGCCTCGCGCTTCGATCGGGCGTGGTCGTCGAGCATCAAGACGCCCTGTGCGCGCACGTCGCGTAGCTCATTCGTTTTTGGCGGGTATGGCGTCGGCGTGAGCTCCTCAAGATAGCCCAGAATCGTCGGCGCGCGGTGCATGCGCGCATAGTACTCGCTGACGTACGACAGCGTGTCAAGGCCCGCGAGCGTGCGACTCTCGTTGACATTCTTCTCGAGGAATGCGCCCCACACTAGTCGCTGGAATGCGCCCCATATGGCCTTGCGATACCACCACATCAGGTTCGAGCCGAGGAAGCCCTCCGCCCTTCCTTGCATCGGCAGGTGGTAGGAAGACGAGGTTACGAGCTTCAAGGTGCGGCTGAATACTCCGGTGGCCGAGTATGGTTGCGATCGCGAGGTCGAAAGGCTTTCCTTCCGAGGCCGCGGCGTCCAGAATCGCCATGAGGGCCCGTGAATGCGGAAGGCTGACGCGACCGAGGACGGTCGTCAGCATGGCCATTTGCTGCTTCTGCATCTCGGCGGCAGTGATCTTCCCCGCCTCGAATGCGGCCAGAGATGTCGAAGCGATCTTGAACATCTCTGGATCATCTGCGATGGACTCGCCGACGGACGCAAACGAGACCTTGGAACGTGCGCAGAGGTCCTCGTGCTCATGCGTCGAACAGACCAAAGCGTCGTGCCCGGCTGCCTCAGCCGCCCGCGCCAGCGCGATGAAGGGCTCGACGTCACCTCGGGTGCCGACGCAAAAGATGAGGACCCGCATGGTGCGTTGTGCCAGAGGACGCGGGAGGCACACGGATCGATCTCGCGCGCCTGCGAATGGACGCGGGGTGAGTCAGCGGACGCGGGGTGCGCCTGGGCCGAGGGCCGAGGGCCGAGGGCCTGGATGGCGTCTGACCGAGATAGCCAGCCGACTCGCGTACTGTGAAAACGATTCGGCACTGTGAAAACGATTCAGCAACAGGACAGGCGCCGAGCTTCGCATGAAACAACAAGTGAAACAACCTTTCCCTTCACAGCAAGGTAATGCAAATTCTTTTCGTGAGTGTGCCAGTCCGCGCCCTTGTCGTGCCAGTGTGCTGACTGCTGTGAGAGAGGCTTGTATTTTAAGAATTCTTTTCCTGGTGTACCTGATTTAGTGCCAGCCAGTGCGCGACAGTCCCGTGCCTAATGTTTGTGATTGTGTAGTGCCAGTGCACCAGTCCCGCAACACAAACACTCTGTCCCAGTCCCGTGCCTCTAGAAGACGGCGATCATGCACCCCACTGGTCGCCATCCTCCGGTGGCGGCGTCGACTGCATCGTGACCTTGATCACCCCGGTGCTGTTGCGAGGCATCGGGCGGTGACATCTGGACGCGGTGCGCTTATCCATCGCCTTCGCAAGCTTGTTGGCGAGGGTATCCAGGCCGCCAGCGTCGGCAACGTCACGCACTACGAGCGGTGCCAGGCCCATCTCGGCGGCGCCTTCAGTGCTGGCGGAGAGAAGCCCCCGCGTGGCGACGCGACGCTCGGTGCGACGCCTCACATGCGCCGGCCTGCGTCGCCAGATCACAAGGCCAGAGAGGCCAACGAGGAGGAGCACGAGCGCGCCACTTGCGGACCCGGCGATGATGGCTATCTTGGCCTCTTCCGTGATGGGAACTGATTGCTTAGGTTTCGGCGGCGGTGGCGGCCCCGCGAACGCGTCCACGATGACATTGGAGAGGAAGGCAAAGTGAGCGTCCGTGGTGGGGATGTGCGACGCCGAATGGCACACTTTGTAACTCCCTGGCTGGGGCACCGTGACCATCACCCAGCCTGCCAACATCTGGCCACCCTGGATCGACCGCTCTCGCGTCGCACCCGTGCAGTCGGGTGTGCCGGACAATAGCAAGACCAGCCAGTCGCCCTCGGCCACGAACGACCCGCGAACGGTGACATTTGTGAGCACGCCGGCGATGATCGCATGCGGTGAATCCAGCGCCACGTCGGGAGGAGGCGATGGCGGCGGCGGCGGCGGCGATGGCGGCGGCGATGGCGGCGGCAAGGGCGGCGGCGACGAAGGCGGCGAAGGCGGCGGTAGATAGTATGTCCATGCCGTCTGACGGACGCAGGTCGGGGTGGCTCCCTCACGGCAGCCGCATGTGCGTTCCTGCCTCTTATCTGCGCGGCCCTCGGCCACGAGAGTGCAGTAGGCGTACATATCAGAAAGAACTGTGCTCGTGCTCTGCGTTGTCCACCACGCACCACCAAGTTATCGGCTGCGAGTTGCAGCAGCCAGTCGCCAAGAAAGTGCTCCTGTACTTCTCGTCCGAGTTGGCCGCGATGACGCCAGGCAGAACGTTGCAGAGCGCAACGAGCGAGAAGACGATCAGCTTGTTGGCACCCTGCACGGTGACCATCACTGGTTGACCTGCGGGACGCGCCGAGCGACGGCGGAAGTGAGGCTGCAGGCCGTGAGGGAGGAATCGAGGGTTAAATGAGACGAAAATACTCCAAGTGCTCCAAGTGCTCCATACGTCTGCTCTAGATATGGCGCTATGCGCTGGTTCACACTTTGGTGGACCCTGACGGCTTCACACCGAGATAGCCAGCCGACTCCGGCGTCTCAGAGACACACTGTGAACAAGAAAAACGAACGACTGGGCGACGCACAGGCAGGACAGACAGACATCAGACTGCAGGCGCCGAGCTCTGGATGAAACAAGCCAGCTTTCCTCAAACGCAATGCAAATTCTTTCCCTTTTGTACCTGTGTTCCATGTGCATGACATGTGCATGTAGAGAGAGAGATTTTTAGCAATACCAAACAACTGCTATGTGCATGTATGTAGTGCCAGAGCACGCCAGTCCCGTGCCTAGTGTTTGAGAGAGAACCACGCCATTCGCTCTCACCTGGCAACCCTGTCTGCATGTCTCGCGCGCGCTTGAACAGGGCTTAAACAAGCATAACGCGCAGTCTTCAGGGGCAAAGATCAATTACCAGGGGCTCCAGCCCCAAATGATGTGTGAGTGTTAGAGTTGTTTGGTATTGCTAAAAAATATCTCTCTTATTGGTGCTGCATGCTGGGGATGGTCAGATGCTCACTACGGATCTACGGTCCATCGAGACTGCTTGATGCCTTTGCGACGTGACACTCCGCCGCGTCGCTCCTCCTCTGGTGCACGGCCACCGACCCTCACCTCGCCGGTCCTCTCGCCGGTCGGCGCCGTGCTGCGCGTCTCCGCGTACCGCCGCACGATGCACCAAGTGCTGCCCCGCATCCATGAGACCATCGAGCGGGTGCGGCGCGTGCGCTCCTTCACGGCGGCGGACGGCGGCGGAGGCGGCGGCGACGAGCGGGGCGAGGGTGGCGGAGGCGAGGAGCTGATCGTCCTCGACTACGTGCTGGACGACGCGCTACCTCCACTGGCGATACACCACCCTACTCATGAATAGCTTCCTAACTAATGTACGTTTCCTTTTAGCTACCACCGCCTCGAGAGGCAGGGTTCCAGCTTTTTGCGGGGTCCGCTGCTCAGAGCTGCAGGCGTGAACAGACGCGGTCCTTGTGTTGCGGCGCGCTCGCTCGACAAGAACCGCATGACCTATCGGGGCGAGGAGCGTCGCTGGCGTGATGACCAACGGCGCGCCGAGTACGGACGCGAAGGGCGGCCATGGCGGGACGAGTCGCGATGGCGGTCGCGATCGCGCGATGAGCCGCGGCGGGATGAGCTGCGACGGCGCAACGAGCGTTGGCAAGGCGAGCAAGGGCGGCACCATGACGGGCGGCATGACGAGCGGCGCGGCTACAATCGGCGGTCGACGAAGTCATCTGGACGGTGACGGGCCGCGCGGCGGCGAGGAGGAGCTGCCGCGCCAGCCAAGCGCCGGCGAGGAGCCGCCGCATGCCGGAGCTGCTCCGTGGGTCCGTGGACGGTCGGGCAGCGGAGCAAACACGAACGGCGAGCAGGAGCTGTCCTACGACGGTGTGACAGCAGTCACGAACGGCGAGCAGGATGTAAACAAGGCGCTGTGCCTAGATGAAAAAAGAACTTATCGCGCCCCATCGTCGCTACAACACCTGGGCACGCGCGAAAGCAGCCTCCTTAAAGTCAAAGGGGTCTAGATTTTTGGAGCGCTAGCCGAAGAATCAAAGTCCCAGGCGCAAGACGCACAAGCACAGACACACAAAAGCACAACCCTGGGCACAGCGCTTGTTACCTTAGATACGTACTATGTCATGTCCGTCACGGACATGACAAATCCATCCTTACTGCATGTCATCCTTACTGCATGAAAGCTTCCCTCAAGCCCTTGAGTAACCTGAGTCGAGTTCCTGGGTGATCAATGCCACAGTCTTTAAGCACGTTGCTTGCAAAGTTGTCGCGCCCGCCTTGGAGCTCATGCACGATCTCGTCGATCTCGATTTCGCTCTTCTCGAGCTTCGAAATGATGCGTTCGATGTCCACGTCTTTGCCTCGCCAATCGACATTTCCCGGCGTCGTGAGCCAGGCACGCCACCGCAAAGCTTTCGGCCCGCGCCCGCGCCCGCGCCTCAGCGGTCCTGGCGACGGCCCCGGTGGAGGCAAGCCCTTCTTCGGCGGCCCCGGCTTCGGCGGCTGCGGCTTGCGGTCCGAGGTGCCAGAGGCGCCGCCCGGCAACTTCCTCTGGTAGAAGCCAAAGCGCCGAATCTTGCAGAGGATCTCGGGCTGTCGCGAGGCGTCGCCGCTCCAGCAGGCACACGCGCGCGGCGGAGTGCTCGCTGCGCGAAAGCAGAGCTTACCCTCGGGGCCGTGCGCAGGGCGAGGGAAGCAGTCGCAGACGAGGCGCTTGTTGAAGTCGATGTCCTCCATCGCCCAGACGGCGCAGTCGTAGTCGATCCCCTTAAGCCGCGAGAGGTTGAGCATGCAGCACTTGTAGACATGCGAGCGCGCGTACGGATTTCTCAAGTTGTTGTGGTAGAGCGGGTTGCCGAGGCGCTGAAAGCCGAGGAGCGCAAAGGCACCACGGTCGACGAAATCGACGTCCTGAGGCGGAGTACGAGCGTCACAGGCGCAGCAAAGCGCACACAGCATTGGGACGCCCCTCGTCGAGGACTCTCTGGATGCTTCAGTAGCTGCCTGCCGAGTGGGGCGCCGTCATCGACGAGCAGACGGCCTTCCTTGTTTGGCGCCTCCTCCCAGGTTGCCGCGGTCAACGCCGAGGCGCGTGCACGTGCTGCACGAGAGATGCAGCGGGTCGAATGCCCTCAGTTCTTGCTTTGTCGGATAGACCGCCGTGATTTACGACAAGAGGGACCGCGCCTTCTCGAGTTTAGTGAGGAGCAGGAGGAAGGGGGGGGCGAGCCGAGAACGATAGAGAGGCCACGGGTGCGGGCGCGGCTCGCTGACCAGGGTGAGCCGGCCCGACCTCCCGGAGAGGGGTGGCGACGAGTGATGCCGCCGCCCCCACCCGGGGAGTCGGGTGTGGGATCGCCAGACAGAGGCGGAGTCAACGGGATCAGGCAGAAAAGACGAGAGGGGGCCTCCTTGACGGCCTTCGACGGCCGCCTCGCCTCGGCCTTCTTCTTACAAGCTCGTGCGATGCCCCCTTCGCTCTTCCGGAGAAAAAAGAAGGCGGAGGCGGTCGAGGCTGGCCCGGCCGCCGACGCGCCGGCCGGGTCCAGCCTCGCGGCCTACGCCGATGTGTACAGCCTCGAGCGCGTGTCTGCGCGAGACGGGCCGCCGTCGGGCTCTGGCGGCCCGTCGCTGCGCGACCGCGCGAGGCAGCGCCTGGTGTCAGAGGTGTTCGGGACGCTGCGCGCGATGCCCTGCGGGGCGGTCCTGCTGGTCGACGGCGTCACCATGCCCGTCATCTCGTCGCTCTTCCGCGTGTCGGAGCTGATGGAGGCGGGCGTGCACCTGGTGGAGCACATCACGATGCGAGGGCCGGACGGAAACTACCTGCGCCGGCAGCAGCTGACCTCGCTGCCCGCGCTCTACTTCCTCACCCCGTCGGTCGAGTCGCTCGGCCGCCTCATCGACGACTTTCGCAACCCAAAGGCTCCCGCGTACGCCAGCGCGCACCTCTTCTTCTCGTCGCGCGTGTCGGACGCGCTGGTCGCCAAGCTCAAGGCCTCGCCAGCGATGCCACGGGTCCGTTCCTTCAAGGAGGTGCACCTCGAGTTCTCGCTCCGCGAGGCCGACCTCTTTGCTGTCTCCCCCTCGCCGGGCGCGCCTCTCGCCATATCTCCCCGCCGCATCTCCCCATATCTCCCCCTCGCCGGGCGCGCTTCTCGCCGCAGCTGCTCCTCCCGCCCTCTCGCCGCAGCTGCTCCTCCCTCCCTCTCTGCTGCTCCTCCCTCCCTCTCGCCGCAGCTGCTCCTCCCCTCCTCCTCCTCCTCCTCCTCCTCCCTGCCGCCTCTCTCTCCTCCTCCCAATCGCCGCCCCTCTCCCCCGAAGGCGCCCCGTCTGCCCTCGCGACACTCTTCCGCATCGACACAGACAAGCCGGCCAAGCGCGCGAGGCTGCACGAGGTGCTCTCCTCGACTCACTCTCTCCCCACACCGCAGCTCACTCTCCCCACCTCACACTCTCCTCACCTCACTCTCTCTCTCCACGGTGCCCGGATCGGAACCACACGTCGCCTCATCTGTCGATTCACACCGAAGCCACACATCATTCATTCATCCATTCATCCATCCACAAGTGCGCCGGCATCAGCGTCCGCTCCCCACCAGACACGTCCACGACACGCCCACAACACGCCCACGACACGCCCACGACACGTCCCACGACACGCACACGACACGCCCACGACACGCCCACGACACGTCCCACAACACGCCCACGACGCGTCCCCGACACGCCCACGACGCGCCCCCGCAGGTGCACAAGATCGGCACCTCGCTTGCCACCCTCTTCACCACCCTCGGCGCCGCACCGATCGTGCGCGCCGCTACCTCCGCCGTCGCCGCCGCCATCGCCTGCGCCACGCAGGAGCCGCCTCGAGATCACGCGAGATCACGCGAGATCACGCGAGATCGCACGAGATCGCCCGAGATCACGCGAGATCGCCTCAGCGAGAGTTGCACCTGCAGGAGAAGCTCGACGCGCTCGATCGGGCGGGCGCCCTCCCGGCTGTCGAGGAGGCGGCGAGCGGCGCGCCGCCGCCCCTGCTGCTCGTGCTCGACCGCGCCTTCGACCCGCTCTCGCCGCTGCTGCACGAGTTCACCTACCAGGCGATGGTGCACGACCTGCTCCCCGTCGCTGAGGGCGACCGCTACCGCTACACGTACGTCGGCAACAGCGGGCAGAGCCTCTCGAAGGAGGTGGAGGCCCGAGATGGCCCGAGATCACCCGAGATGGCCCGAGGTGGCCCGAGATCACCCGAGATCGCCCGAGGTGGCCCGAGGTGGCCCGAGATGGCCCGAGATGGCCCGAGATGGCCCGAGATCACCCGAGATGGCCCGAGGTGGCCCGAGATCACCCGAGATCGCCCGAGGTGGCCCGAGGTGGCCCGAGATGGCCCGAGATGGCCCGAGATGGCCCGAGATCACCACGAGATCACCACGAGATGGCCCGAGATCACCCGAGATCACCCGAGGTCACCCGAGGTGGCCCGAGAGGAGCCGAGAGAGTACCAGGCGGCGAGAAGGGCCGCGAGGTGGCGCGACCAACGCGTGGACGTGTCGGAAGCTTCTCGGAAGCTTCTCGGAACTCTCCCTGCAGGTCCTTCTCAACGAGGCGGACCCGCTCTGGCTGCGCTACCGGCACATGCACATCGCAGACCTCACGGTCGAGCTCGACGCGGACTACAAGGCCTTTCTGCGAGACAACGAGGCGTCGGCCGGCCTCGCGAGCGGCAACGCCGACCTGTCGGAGATGGCCGCCGGGCTGCGCGCGATGCCGAAGTTCCAAGAGGCGATGGGGCGCTGGTCGCTGCACATCTCCCTCGTCTCCGAGCTCGTCTCGCGCTACGAGGCCTTCGGGCTCGAGGCGGGCGTCTGGTCTCTCCTCCCCGTCGTCTTCTGTCTCCTCTCCTCTCCTCTCTCCCTTTCCCCTCCCCCTCCCCCTCCCCTCTCCTCCTCTTCTTTCCCCCCCCTCTCCCTCCCTCCCGACTCCCCTCTCCCCTCCTCCGTTCCCCACAGGCGGCGGCGCTGCTCGAGCAGGCGATGGCGTGCGGCAGCAGCCCGGACGGCAAGCCGTGCACCTCCCCGCTCGCCGACCTGCGCTCCCTCCTCGCCGACGACGCGACGGCGCGCTCGCCGATCGACGCGCTGAGGCTGCTGATGGTGTACGTGGTGACGCAGGAGCGGGGACCACGCGGCCGTGGGGGGCGCGAGGCTGTGAGCGGCGTCTCTTCACACCCCCTCGCTGTGAGCAGGAGGGGATCAAGCCCGAGGTGCGGCGCGAGCTCTTCGAGCTGGCGGGCATCCAGCCAGAGGACCAGGAGCACACCCCCGCCCCCCCACCACCCGCTCTGCACGTGCAGCCTGGCCAGAGCCCCCTGCCCCACCCCACCCCACCCCACCCCACCCCACCCCACCCACCCACACCACCTCACCCCCCCCCTCCCCCCGCCCCTGCCCCGCCCGCCAGGTTGCCATCCTCAACCTCTTCCACCTCAACGTCAACCTGACGCACGGACTCAAGCCGCCAAAGCCGCCGCAGAGAAAGCAGCCGGAGCCGGCTGTTGAGCCCGCCGCGTCCGCCGCACCGGTGCGCGAGTCGGGGTACGACGTCTCGCGCTTCACGCCGCCGCTACGCAGCCTGGCGCAGCGCGCTCTCTCCGGCGAGCTTCCGTCGGACGACTTCCCGTGCCGCACCCCTAGAAGCGGAACCTCTCCCCCTCTCCCCCCCCTGTCTCGTGCCTAGACGGCGAGAGATGGCGAGGTACTGGCCCGTGCCTCCCCCGAGCAGCGCTCGAGAGGATGCGTCTCCCGTCGTCTCCGGCCGTACTCCGCTGCACTCCCTGTCCCCCTAGCCCTCGCCCTCACGCGGTGCTCTGAACACGCGGCTGGGCCAGCCGACTTCCCGCCCCCAGACGCTGGCCGCTTCACGCAAAGACACAGCCCCGGGGCCCAAGACCGCACACGCACACAGACAGGTCGACAAGAGAGAGAGACAGCGACGACAGTCAGAAGTCGGCACTGGGTCCCAGCAAGGCGAATGCGATGACGGCCTCTAGTGCGAGCTCTAGACTAGTGAGCTCGTACGCACGCAGGCAGATCGCGACTATAGCCGGGCTATAGTCTTCACACCCACCACTCACACTGCCAGGTACATGAGGCCACATCTCGCCGCCAGCGCCGCGGCGACGCCGACCCACGAGGCGGCCGGGCTGCCCAGCTGGGCGACGGACGCGGCGGCCGAGCCCGCCGGCGCGGCGGGCGGAGCGGGGGGCGGCACCGCCCCTCTCGCTCGCGGAGCGGCCCGCGTGCCAAGTCCGCCCTCTCAGGCGACGTGGCGGTTGCGCGTAGGAGGGCGGCGTCTGGTCGTCTTTGTGGCGGGCGGCGTGACGTACGCGGAGGCACGAGAGCTGCACGAGCTTGGGCGCGAGATGGGGTGCGACGTGATGCTCGGCGCGACCGCGCTGCTCACGCCGCAGCGGTGCGACCGCGCCGCCTCGCGTCGGGCACACGCCACGTCAGGGCGGCGGACTTGACCGCGGCGCGACTGCACCTGTAGGTATGTCATGGAGCTCAAGGAGCTCAAGGCGCTCGAGTCGCGCGTCGAGCAGCGCGCCTGAGGGAGGGAGGCGCGGCTCCGGCTCCGGCGCACGCTGCGTGAGTCGGCACTACAGCGCGCCGGAGCGTTGTGGATTAGCCCGGTCGAACACCCCCCGAACCAATAAACTCCCCCATTCAGCTGAGAGGTTTTGGATTTCGCTCCCGCGCAATCGAGTCATCAAGCATGGTGGTTGGTGCCCAACGCGCAACGGCGGCAAAAAAACTAAAAAGCGCCGGTAGCAAGGTAGCACGATGGAGAGGTAAAAGGCTAGTTCCAATTCACAATATGATTCACTCTTGACACGCTAATCTTGAAAACGCGTCCAACGGAGCTCCGTGTTGCTCCCAGCGGAATCCCCCGCGCTTCCTGCGGCCATGGCCGATGATACTAGTATGAGAGGTCATCTGGCTACCGCGAGCGCGACTCAACTCGCCGACGTCGTCCGATGATTGTGCCTCAAAGTTGGGGCGCGGTCGTCGCAGACACGAGGAACGCAGCTGCGTCGACGGCGAAGGGCGTGTCCTCGACGACGGGTCGGAGATGGAGGTGTCCCTGCCCGACAGCGTGGCGGTGCAGCGCGACGGCCTCGACGGCGATCCCGTGGTGTGGGCGACGAGCCGGGGCGCGGGGCCGATCGCGCTCACGTGGGGGCTGCTCCGGCAACGCGGCCGTCTCCCGCAGGGTGTCTCGCTGCCGCGCGCAGACGGGGCGAGGCAGCGAGTGCTCGGCATCGCATTGAGCTGCCGACGGGCGAGCAGAGAGCACAACGGGAGGCCGGACTCGACCGCGCTGCTCCTTCTCTTCTCGGACCGGTTCGAGGCGTACTCGGCCTGCGTCTCGCCGCGCACCGGCGCGTCCGCGACCTCCTCGGGCCTCGGCGGGCGCCTCGGGACCTTTGGGCGGGCCGAGCTCTCGGGTGGTACAGCGCTGTGCATCACCTCGTTCGAGGCCCTCGTCTACGTCGGCGACGGCGGGAGGCACGCGGTCCTGGTGTACCCGGGTACGAGTGCGCTCCGGCCTGCAGCAGCGCCGGTACCTGCGGCAGATTGGGGGCAGCGGCGGCGACGGCGGTGTGGCGTTCCGCGAGCCGATCAGCGTCGCCGTCGGGCGTGCTGGCGCGGGCGAGCGTGCTGCGGAGCCTTTGCTCCACGTGGCCGATTGGGACCGGGTCTACGTGCTGACGCTGCAGGGGGCGCCGCTGCAGGTGATCCCCGTGGCGGGGAGCAGCACGCGGCGCGTCAACGGCATCTGCCTCGACGCCGACGGAGAGCACCTCTGGCTGGTGTCGGCCGAGCGGCATTCGCTCTGCCGCTTCGGCGCCGCCGCGGTGCGCCGGTCAGCGGCGCCCAGGAGGTCGGACGACGTGGCCGACTCGCTCGGCGCCCTCGAGCTGCGTTGAGCTTGGTGGGAGGTGGTGAGGGACGCCTCAGTCTCGTAGAGAGCAGTGTTGTGGGACATGAGCGTGCCTTAGTGACGTAACGTACCAGCTACCACCGCGGTGCGTCGCGCTCAATGCGCGCGCAATTCGCGTGTGCGGGGTGTGGCGCCGAGAAACATACACTGCAAAAATGTCTCCCCACAGAGAGAGAGAGAGAGAGCCTATTGACATTTGACTCGACCGGGACAGCGATCGGGACAGTCCAAGAGTCAAGTCTCAACGCCGGGAATTCCGTCTGGACACAGTGACAGGCGTGCGCGGCCATTGAGGCGGCGCGTGCATACAACCCGCCCAGCATGCACCCGACCACATTGTGCACCAGCCACCACGCCACGTGTGCTGCGCCACGTGTGCTGCGCCTGGCGTTCGCTGTCCGAGAGCGAGGCGCTCAGTCTTTAGTCCGTGCCAAGAGCGCAAGGTCTCTGGACTCTGCGAGGGCCGCTCTGCCTTCGCAGCTTCTCCCCGCTCGTCGCACGCGCCGCTCAGATGGGTGGCGCCGGAGGGCACACGCAGGCACGCGGTTCTCTCCGAGCGGAGATGCGGCAGCTCTTCCACCCTGCCCACCAGGCGCACGAATAGTGTGCGAGCCTGGCTGCGGTCGAGCCTTAGGCTGCGCCCGCTGCGGAACGTCTGCCACCCGCCCTCGCGATCGCCACCTGGTTGTCGGCGTTGCAAGCGAGGTTCCGCAGCGCCCTCGCGGCCTGCTCCTTCTGCCCGTCCGTGCCGTCGCGAGCCAGCGACACCAGCGGCGCGAAATCACCCGCCTCCGCAGCCGCCACCGCGATCTGCAGCTGCGCCGTCCTAGCCTGAAGCTCCTCCTCCGCCTCCCTCCGAGAGCGTTCGACAGCCTCTTGCCAAGCGCGCTCCTCCTCCTTTTGCCGAGCGCGCTCCCTCCGAGAGCGGTCGACAGCCTTCTGCCGAGCGCGCGCCTTATCCGCCGCATAGCGGTCGGCGGCATCGCGGCGAATCCGCTGCTCCTCTGCCTCACGCAGTGGCTCGCATGAGAACTGGGCTGGAGCTAAGAACGAGTCGTTGGGGTATGGCCAGAACACAGCTGGGAAGCTCTTCAACCGCTCTCGTAGCTTGTTGACCTCTGAGGAAGGACCGTGAACTTCCACACTTTCAATATCGGCGCACTGCATGGCGGTCTTTAGCGGTCCATCGACATTCTGCAAATGCTCCAAGAAGCCTTCGGCAGAGTCGTAGCCCTCGCGACAGATGGCTTTCGATCCATACACGCAAAAGCCGTAGTACTTGACTTTCTCCTCCTGCCTCGTGAGGTGCTGGAAATCTTTGACTCCAGCAAGGAACTTCGCATAGTCCTTGATCTTCCAGTACACAAGAACGCAAAGAGTTTCGTCAGACACCAGAGGGCCTTGGCTGGGCTGCCGCAGATACTTTGAGGGCACGAAGAAAGCACCATCGACATAGGCCCAGTGTGAGGAAAGAAGATTCTTCTGCGAGACCTCAAGCTGACCCACCTCGTCTTTTGGTCCATGCGCCTCCATGTTTGTGATTGCTGCTACAGACATGGCGTCGAACAACACCCCCTGAGCGCCTGAGCGCAAGTACTCCATGTAGCTCGCAAAGTTCGCGTGGCCTTCCTTGCTTACAGCCCGGTTGCCGTTGATGGAGAAGCCATAGTACTTCACACCAGGCGCCCTTTGAACAAGAGCCTTGAAGCGCTGACAGATCCGCTTGAAGGAGTTGGTGTTGCTGACATCCCAATAGGTCATGATGCTCAGTGTTGTGTCTGGGGCACTGTTCAATGGGGACTCCACCTCCTTGAGGCGGGCCTCTGACGCCGCCTCGTCCAGCATCGCCGCCGTTGGGCGCCGTCCAGGGCTTTCCTGCAGACAGCTCTCGACCCACAAGCCGAGCTGCTCGCTCGCAGACTTGCTCTCGGCGATCGCGCGCTGCCGCTTTGCCGCGTCGAGCGCCACGTAGCCAATCGTGCGGCCAAGCAGCAGCTCCGCGAGGATGCAGCCTGCGGCCCAGACGTCGTCCGCCGGCCCATACCGCCCCCCGTCGGTCTTCTCGGGCGACATGTACGCGTCCGTGCCCATGCGCGAGTGGTGCGAGGCGGGAATGACGCACGCGAGCCCAAAGTAGATGATCTTCGCGCGGCCCGTCGAGTCGAGCATCACGTTGGCCGGCTTGAGGTCGCGGTGCTGCAGGTTGAGCGAGTGCATGTATGCGAGCCCGGACGCGACCTGCTGCATCAGTGTCGCTACCTCGAGTGGTTGCAGCGGCGGCGCGGCGGCGATCTTCTCGGCGAGGGAGCCGCCGGTGAGAAGTTCCGTGACGATGACGAAGAGGCGGCCGTCGTCGGTGTCGTGCCAAAAGGCGTCGTAGAAGCGCAGTGTGTTCTCGTGCTCGATCATCGAGAGTAGGCGCGCCTCCTTCTCCAAGCCAGCACCGTCCAGCTCCTCCGACTCGATCATCTTGACCGCATACCGCCTCTCGTCGATCCCAGCAGCCTTGCGCATCCGGTACGTCATGCCGAAGGACCCCCTCCCGAGCCGCGCGGCGGGCTTGTCCTTCTGGCCGGGAGGCGCGTCCGGCTTGCGGTCGTACGCGTAGAGCGACATCCGCGAGCTGCGGTCCGGCTCCGCGTTGCCAATGCCCGTTGCGGTGAGGTTCGCCATCATCGCGATGATCTTGTCGAGCTTGAGGCCATGCTGCGCAAAGCCCTCGCGCATCTCACGCGTCAACTCCTCCTGGAACTCGGCGTCCGACACGCCCGATGCGACAGCGATGCCGCGCACCACCTCGCAGTCCTTCTCGAGCGCCTCCGCGTCGACAGCCTCGCCCATCGCGTTCCGCTCGGCCACGCGGCGCTCCACCTCCGCCTCGACAGCGTACTCGCGCGCCTGCAGCCGGTCGATGATGTCCGCATCGCGGGCGAGGTTGTAGAACTGGAGCAGCAGGCCGAGCTGGTCCGTGATCTCGGAGTCGAGCTGCGAGAGCGTGGTGCCCCTTCCCACGTTGAGCGCGCGTCTTAGCCAGCCCTGCTTGCCAAAGGCAGCGACCGCCGAGCGCACGTCATTGAGCAGCCGCTGCAACTCGCGCATCCGGTCCTCGACGCTCGCGCGGCTCTTCACGTCCATGCGCTCCACGTTTTTAGCCATGAGCTGCAGCAGCTCGAGGACGTCGATCGTGCGCTGGGCAGCCGTCAGGACGTCATTGATCACCGCTCTCGACTTTTGCACGACTTGAAGGACGTCGCGAGCCGCTCCGCACACAGCAGGAATGAGAGGCAGCCCGGCGCGCTCGCCGAGCCTCAGCACCGTGTCGACGAGCTTCAGTCCCGTCTGCACCTTGTCAAGCGCCCGCTCCGCCGACGTGAGTCGTGCCACACCAGACTCCATTCAGCGAGCGGCTTGAACGTAGGGATATATCGAGCAAGAGCCGCGCTTGAGCAAGACGCGCTTGAGCGGAGAGCCGCGCTAAGATGCGAGACGCGGTTGAGCGTGTCAGCGCTGATTTCCGCGAGTGAGCAAGGGGGCTAACTGTAGTGTGCGTCGGGCTGGGGGTTAAAAATCTTTTTGCGTTTAGCATGCGAGACGCCGCTCCTTGCCGTGAGTTGGTCGTAATCGCGGGACTTCATTCCGGCTCGTGGCACTGCGACGCGCGAGCCGCCGGTGGAGGTGCGAGAAGCCGTCGCGCGAAACCAGGTAGGTACCACGGCAGCATGTGGGGCCAAACTCATTGACGCGTCCGGCCGGCACGGCATCGAGGCACGGCTCGCACGGCCACGATGGCCACATGGGCAACGGTGCCGGGCGGTCACAAAGGTGGGAGACCCGCGTCATGGAGTACCTTGCAAACGTTGGTCGCAATCGCAGGTTCATCGCGGCTCGCTCGTTGCTTGAGCACTTCGCTCCTCTCAGTCCACCCCGACCCGACCCGCGACTCGCCCGGCGAAGCTCTCGTAGTTGTCTCTGCCCCACGACTATCAGCTCTAGCCCACGATGCCGCGCATACCTCTCACTCTGGAGCATGCTTGCCAGACCCCTCGCATCGCCTCACAAGACCCGACGCTTCGCCTCACAGGTGCAAAAGGACTGGTTGCCCAACGGCCCGAGGGTGTGTGATTCGCGCAGAGCGATTAGCTACGTCGGTCCGCTTCCTGGCCCGCCCCGTGTCCACCAGCTCAGAGATCATCGCACTCTCTGCGGCACTCACACGCCTTCTCGCTCTAGCCCAACCGCGCCTCGCCTCGCCTCGCCGTGCCTCCGCTCTGACCTTAGCTTCTCACAACTAGGCTCACCGCGACTCGCGCCCCGCTTCCTCGACATGCTCCGCTCCCTCGTGCTCTCGACATGCCTCGTGCTCGCTGCGCGCGCTCAGCTCAGCCCAACTTCGTGCGATGCGGACAGCAGCAAGTGCTCGAGCGTGGCCGACGACTGCTGCGCGTGCGATGCGAGCATCGGGATGACCGGGTGCGGCTTCAGCGAGCCCGCCACGTGCCGCGATGGCTACGTGCCTCGGATCATCAGTGCCTCGGACACGTCGTCTTGCTACTATGAGTGCGTGCCTCCAACCTGCACGGCTGGGACCTCGCTGCTGTACGTCGCCGTCAAACGCGGCTACTACGACGCGTTGGCCTACTGCTCGCAGATCGGCGGCGTGCTCGCCCCCGGCACGTACCCCGGTCTGAACAGCTGGTACAACCAAGCCTGGAGTGCGCAAGGCGAGATCTGGATTGGTGACAGTGGCGATGGAGGAGGGCCTCTTCGCTACGCGACGTTGTTCGACACGTGCTACAGCGGCGCGTGCCCGTGTACCAACTGCGCTGATGCGAGCGAGATGAAGGCGTTTGCATGCAGCGTGCGGGACGGTGACGACCCGCGCTACCAAAGCTACAGCAACACCGTGATGGGTCGCCCGCCGCCCGACGGCATCACATGCGAGTCCACAGCACACTGCCCGACCTCTGGCGCCTGCGCAGAGAACCCCGTGTGCTGGACGCACGAGAGCCCCAACGGGCACCACTACTGCGCCGAGCAGGTGACGCCAGGCAGCTCAGGAACGACGACAGACATCTGCAGCAACCCGGCCGCGCAGGACTACATCCAGTGCTGGCAGGGCAAGGCGCAGCGCTACTGCAGGCACAGCTACGACTCGGGCGACGGCGACTCGCCCGCCGCCACTGTAATCACCTCCTTCTCGCTCGCCGGTGCGGTCGAAGACTTTGGCCCGGACGAGCAGGCGGCGATCGTCGCTGTGCTCGCTACGGGGGCCGGTGTGCCAACGTCGGCGGTCTCCCTCACGCTCTCGCCTGGCTCCGTGATCGTCACGGCAACGATCATCTTTGTGGTCGAGGCCGCCGCCAACGAGGCGGTGAGTGCGCTCTCGGGGGCAAACGGCATCCTCGAGAATACGGCGAACTTAGCACGCGCTGGCGCGCACGGCAACCGGGACTTACACGCGCGACACGAGGGACTGTGTATCTTTGCCTGCCTCGGGGGAGAATAGCCGCCCTCACCCGCTGCCGGCCGCGCATCGAGCTCGGCGGGGCTGATACGTGTCATTCTAGGCCGGCGCGTATCTATCTATCTTAGCCAAGATACGCGGCCACACGTGCAGACGCGCATAGCGGTACTCGCGCCCACACGTGCAGCCGCCTATCTTGGCCAACATAGGCGGGCGTGAGCGCGTGAAAAACGGCCCGTCGGCGAAGGCGACTCGCGCTGGCACGTGCACGGAGGGATGTTGACATACGCGGCTACCTACACGTGTGGGCGCCTGTCTAGGGGAACAACGCGCCCCATGCGTGGGCGTGTATGTCACGCGGTACTGCGGCTGCGAGTGCAGCCGCCTATCTTGGCCAAGATAGGCGGCTTCACGTGTGGGCGCGAGTACCGCTATACGCGTCTGCACGCGTGGCCGCGTATCTTGGCTAAGTAAGATACGCGCCGGCACAGAATGACACGCAGTCCCTCGTGTCGCGCGTGTAAGTCCCGGTTGCCGTGCGCGCCAGCGCGTGTGGCCGCGTACCTTAGCTAAGATACGCGCGCACGGGCTGGGTGGGTAAAAACGGGTCACTTTGCGGCGTTTGCCTGCCGGGAGCCGCCTTGGCTCACTCCTTTTGCCTTCAGCTCTGCTCGTGCTTCTTGTTGTAGCAACGGTCGCAGAAGCCGGCAGAAGCGCTTACTGGCTGGTATGTCCAGGCTGGTGCTGCACCAGCGTGACGATGGGGTGGCCCAGACGCTGCTGCGCAAGGCGGCCACGCACGCCCGCGACGGCGACGTCTGGGTCGACGGGAGGACATGCGTGCCGAACGGCGAGCTTGTCACGGTGCTGCGGCGTGAGGCGGAGTTCGGGTGGGTTCGTACTGGCGCGGGCGTGGAGGGCTATCTGAAACTCAGCTACCTCTTGCCGCCACCAGAGGAAGCTAAAGTACAGAGGCACGGGCAAGGGCAAACAACAATGCTGCGCAAGGTAGCCACGCACGCCCGCGACGGCGACGTCTGGGTCGACGGGAGGACATGCGTGCCGAACGGCGAGCTTGTCACGGTGCTGCGGCGTGAGGCGGAGTTCGGGTGGGTTCGTACTGGCGCGGGCGTGGAGGGCTATCTGAAACTCAGCTACCTCTTGCCGCCAGCTGTGGCCAAGGTGCAGCGTGACGATGGGGTGGCCCAGACGCTGCTGCGCAAGGTGGCCACGCACGCCCGCGACGGCGACGTCTGGGTCGACGGGAGGACATGCGTGCCGAACGGCGAGCTTGTCACGGTGCTGCGGCGTGAGGCGGAGTTCGGGTGGGTTCGTACTGGCGCAGGCGTGGAGGGCTATCTGAAGCTTGCCTACCTGGCAGCAGAGGAAGGCGTCCCGAACAAGCTGCTGATGTTCCACGGCACCGACGGTGCCAACGCCGCGGGCATCATCCAGCACGGCTTGCGCCCATCCGCAGGTGGACGTCTAGGCCCGGGTGTGTACCTGACCCCTGACCAGACGGTAGCAAACACAATCGCAAAGCACAGAGGCTTGCAGTTTGTGCTCGAGTGCGAGGTCACGCCAGGCAAGGTGTACAACTTCGACACAGGCACGGGCGCGCTTCCAGCGCAGAAGCAAACGTGGGCAGCGAGTGGCTTCAACGCCGCGCAGAGCATGCATCCACCATGGGCTGGGGTTGATGCAGCATTTTGCGAGTACTGCATACACGATGCGGCGGCAGTGCGGGTGATCAAGGTAGAGGGCTTTGTAGCGAAGCCCACGTAGCTTGGTGGACAAGACAGGCCGGGTTCTCTAGATGTTTGTATGCCTTGTAATGATGCATGAACCATGATGATGGGGTAATGATGCATCACGTCCAACAGATTTTCGTCGTAGCCCGTGATTCAGCTGCTGATGGTACATTGCGCTCTTGTTTGGGGGCTCTTAGGAAGCAGCTCACAGCCCTATTATTGGTCGGTTTTTGGTGCTAAAAATGCAAGTCGGCCTGGAAGCGCCAAGATCGTGCAGGGCGGGGACACATGTCCCTAAATCCCATCTCGTCTCAGAGTTTGCCCGTTTTATTTATTTATTTACTCGCGACTCGGCTCTCGGCACTCGGGGATGTTTGTTTTCACCCTGACCCAATCGACAAGTCGCTGGGCCCTCCGACCTCGTGAGCCGGAGCCTCCCGGCTCCGTGACCCCGTGTGTGCCGATAAACTCCGCCGACAATCGGGTCTCGCCCCTCCCGACACGTGAATTGGACGGCGGCGGCGGCGGCGGTTCCGTCTTCGGTCCCCGCGGGAAGCCCCGCGCATAGGACAACAACAACAACGTCTGTCCCACACCCCATCACACGCATTGGACGAGATTCGAGTATATGGCGCGATTCCCGCCGCACGTCGCCGCGCCCCGCAACGTCGCTAGCGCATGTTGCTCAGCGAGATGTTGGCCGCCGCGGGGATGTCGAGGCGGAGTGTGACTCCCAGCGCCGACAAACGGACGCGCGTGTCGACCAACAGGACCTCGCCCTCCAGCTCGCCCAGCGCGTCGTTGAGCTCGCGCATGTCGAGCAACAGACCGCGCAAGTCGACGACCAGCGCCACCGTCGCCGAGGAGCGAGGCCCGACGCGCACGGGCGCGGCGAGCGAGCCGACACCAACCAGCCCTGCCACTGGCTTGAAACCCGCACTCCCGGCCTCGCCAGGGCCGACCGTCTCGACCGCCGCAGCCGCCGCAGCCGCCGCAGCCGCCTCGGCCGCCTCGGCCGCTACGCGCGGCTGCGCCCGCCGGACCTGAGTGTGAATACTGCAGTGTGAATACGCCGACGTCAGGGCGGGAATGCGGCCTCGCGCCGTGTCTTCAGAGCACGCGTGAGTACGAGGGGTGCGAGGACAGCGAACACCGCGCGGGATACAGCGGAATACCGCCGAAGCCGCGTCGTCCTCGAGTGCCAGTCGGACTAGCAAGGGGACGTCTCCCGCTTCTACTCCGCCGGACGAGGATCTGCGAGTCCCTCTCGAGCGTGGCGTGCAGCATGGTGGGGTTGAAGAGCCGCAGCGTGAGTGGCAGCGCGTAGATCGGGTGCGAGTTTGTGGCGGTGCGGTCGTAGCACGAGCTCGGGATTACCTGCAAGCCAAGGGGGCCGGGGTGTGCGATGCGCCGAGATACAGCCGAAGTGTAGCCGAGGTGCAGCCGAGATACAGCCGGGCATGCGCTGCGCCGACATGCGTCGACATGCGCTAAGATGCGCCGAGGTGCAGCCGAGGTGCAGCCGAGGTGCAGCCGAGGTGCAGCCGAGGTGCAGCCGAGGTGCGGCCGAGGTGCAGCCGAGGTGCAGCCGAGGTGCAGCCAGGTGCAGCCGAGGGGCAGCCGAGGTGCAGCCGAGGGGCAGCCGAGGTGCGCAGAGCGCCTGCAGCCCGAGCCCGCCGAGCCCGTCCAGCGAGAGCAGCTCCGACGACGCGGCGCTCACTTGCACGGAGCCGGCAGAGGGCCGGGGCGGCGGCGGGCGAAGCGGCGGCGGCGGTGGGCGAGGCGGGTGTGGCGACGGGGGCGGCGGCGGCAGCGGCGGCGGCGGCGACGGCGGCGGCGGCGGCAGTGGCAGCGAGTCGAGGAGGTCTCGCCGCCTCGCGTCGGGCCTCGACCTCGGCTGGGCCGCCTGCGTCACGCATGCGCCGAGGTTAGAGGGGGGAGGGGGGGGGGGGGTACGGTCTCGCGCCGTGTGCTCGCAGCTGAGGCCCTCGCGAGGGTACGTCGGGCTACGAAGACCGTGAATACCGCGGAGTGCGGTGGAGGAGAGACGAGGCAATGTCGTCGCAAGTGCTAGCCGGAGGACGCCAATACGCGCGCAGCTGCTAGGCAGCATCGCACGCAGCATCGCATGGCACACGAGGGGCTGCGCATACCGGAGGAGGACGGCGGAGCGCAGAGAGTCGGGGTGCAAGGATACTCTGCGTCTAGGCTGTACGCTGCCTGCGAGGCCCACGCGAACAGGCCGACGCCGACGCCCTTTGCGACGTCGATCCCCGCGGCGCCAGCGCCGACAGCGGCCTCAGAGCCGCCGATTCCAATGCCTAGCCCGGCCTGTCCGAGGGAAAGAAGGCCGATGGAGACAGACTGGCGAAGAGAGAAGAAGCGAGAGGAGGGAGGGGAGAGAGAGGAAAGGAGAGAGAAGGGCGAGGAGGGCAGAGACTAGAGAGGAGAGAAGAGACAGGAAAGAAGAGACAGGCAAGAAGAGAGAGCCGAGCCTGTCCGAGGTGGCTTGGGGCGGTGCTTGGTGTGGCTTGGGCCGGTGCTTGGTGGCTTGGGGCAGTGCTTGGTGGCTTGGGGCAGTGCTTGGTGGCTGGGGGCAGTGCTTGGTGGCTTGGGGCAGTGCTTGGTGGCTGGGGGCAGTGCTTGGTGGCTGGGGGCAGTGCTTGGTGGCTTGGGGCGGTGCTTGGCCCGCCTGCCCGATCCCGATCCCTGCCTGCCCGATGCCTAGCCCCGCCTCGCCCACCGTGCCCGCCCCCTTTGCGAGCGGGCTGCCGATGCCGAGCGTCACGCAATCGAGGTCCTACTCTTCACCACCCTCGCTACTGCGTCCTCTTCCTCTCCCTCTCCCTCTTCTCCGCGTGGCGCAGCCGAGGTCCTACTCTTGGCGACTGCCACTGTGATGGCTGCTCGTCTCCGTCCACTTTCTCGCGCCACGCAGCCGCGTACCTAGCGGCAGGCTCCGGCAGGGCGTCCGCAAGAGACGGCCGAGGCGCGGGGCGTGTTCACAAGAAGACGCGTCATTCCTCGACCAGCCCGCGCCCGACCCAGCCGAGGGCGTCGTAGCGCACCTGCCGAGCAGCCGGAAGTGCAGCCGAGGTGCAGCCGAGGTGCAGCCGAGGTGCAGCCGAGGTGCGGCCGAGGTGCAGCCGAGGTGCAGCCGAGGTGCAGCCGAGGTGCGGCCGAGGTGCAGCCGAGGTGCAGCCGAGGTGCAGCCGAGGTGCGGCCGAGGTGCAGCCGAGGTGCAGCCGAGGTGCAGCCGAGGTGCGGCCGAGGTGCAGCCGAGGTGCAGCCGAGGTGCAGCCGGAAGTGCAGCCGAGGTGCAGCCGAGGTGCGGCCGAGGTGCGGCCGAGGTGCAGCCGAGGTGCAGCCGAGGTGCAGCCGGAAGTGCAGCCGAGGTGCAGCCGGAAGTGCAGCCGAGGTGCAGCCGAGGTGCGGCCGAGGTGCGGCCGAGGTGCAGCCGGAAGTGCGGCCGAGGTGCAGCCGAGGTGCAGCCGAGGTGCAGCCGAGGTGCAGCCGAGGTGCGGCCGAGGTGCAGCCGAGGTGCGGCCGAGGTGCGGCCGAGGTGCAGCCGAGGTGCAGCCGAGGTGCAGCCGAGGTGCGGCCGAGGTGCAGCCGAGGTGCAGCCGAGGTGCAGCCGAGGTGCGGCCGAGGTGCAGCCGAGGTGCAGCCGAGGTGCAGCCGAGGTGCAGCCGAGGTGCGGCCGAGGTGCAGCCGAGGTGCAGCCGAGGTGCAGCCGAGGTGCAGCCGAGGTGCAGCCGAGGTGCGGCCGAGGTGCAGCCGAGGTGCAGCCGAGGTGCAGCCGAGGTGCAGCCGAGGTGCGGCCGACACAACGCGCCTCGTCCACGCGCAGCGAGGGCAGGTCGAGCAGGGAGGGGCAAGCGCCCCCCTTGCGGTCCACCGTCGTCGAGCTCCACCGCACCCCCTTGCCCTTCGGCCGCGGGTCTGCGCAAGTCAGCTCGCCGCACTTGCGGCAGCCCCACTCAGCCGCAACCTCCGCCGCCGCTTCCGCCGCGTCCGCGGCCGCGCGGCTGGTTTTGGCGCCTCGCGTGAGCTTGAGGACCTACCAGCGACGTCGCGACGGTCAGGCGAGGGGTTGCGCTGGTGGTGAGAGAATGAGGGGTGTGGGTGAGAGAAGGAGAGAAGGAGAGAAGGAGAGAGAGAGGGAGGGAGGGAGTGCGCGGGAGGAGGGGCCTCGTTGCTTGCGGACGTGCGCTGCGTCAGCGCGAGGCCCGGCGCAAAGGCTGGCGCCTGATAGCAACTCATCATCCATTGACGGCCCAACATTCATTCATGACCAGGCCCGGCGCAAAGGCTGGCGCCACGACCGCCCTGGCGCGCACGCCGACAGACACCTCGCTCTCGGAGGCGTACGCGGAGATCATCCTCGCCGCCGCATCGCCGACGGCCACCGTGCAGCGCACCGTGTGCGACGACCAGCTCAGCGCCGGTAGGAGAAGGGGGCCGGAAGCGGTGCACGCGCCGGCCGCGCCGCGAGCCAGAGAGCCGGCGGCTGTTTCCGCTGGGCTGCCAAAGGAGGCGAGCTGCGCCGGCTCGAGGCCGACGCCGGAGACGTCGCGCGCGACAAACGGGACGAGGGACGGGTTGAAGAGGAGCAGGGTGAGGTCGGCGTAGACGACGCCGTCGCTACGCACGCTCTGCTCCGCCAGCAGGCCGCACAGCTCCAAGCCAACCCTCCCTTCGGGCAGCGTAAAGTACCCCGTCGTCTCTGACGTGGCCGAGCACGCCTCGACAGCGCAGAAGTTGACGCGCGACCACAGGAGCAACGGGATGACGACGCCGCAGAGGAAGAAGAAGAGCAGCGCCAAGATTAGCACGGCGAGTGACCAACGAAGCAGTCGCCAGCGCGACCAGCCCGACGACTGATGGCCGTGAGGCTGCTTGTCCTCGTCGTTGACGCTCGTGCGCATTGTGGGAGGGGCCGTGTGTGCGTGCAGAAGCCTGTGCGGTGAAGGAAAGCGCAAAACGTCGGCTGCTGCCGCGCCGGGCAACAAGCAAGGTCAAGGTCAAGCCAAGGATCAGTGAGAAAAAGAATTTTGACCGCAGCGAATATGTTCACACCTTGAGCGGAGGCCAATTGATTCGCGAGACTCCGGCAAAAAGGGGGTTGGCAACGGGCTTTTGCGGACGCAAGCCTTCAGCTGGTGCCAAAACGTACCAAAACGTCCGTCCCGTCGACCAAAATACGCGGTCGGTAGAAATGGCTTGCTTGCAAGAATGGGATGCCGACAGGCGTCAGGCGGCGCATGCCGAGAAGTCGCTTGCCGTGCGGGAGCTCGTGCGCCTCTCCCTGCGCGTGCAGTCCACGGGCGTCGTCGCGGAGCTTCATCTCGACACGGCACTGGTTGCTCCGAGCGGCAGCGGAGCTGATCACGAGCGACGAATTCGCCGGGGATGCCAGGCAACAGATGGGCGCGCAGATAATTGGCGTGGCGTCCTAAACAACGCGACCGACGAGCATGCTCAACTGCTGCGCGACGCTCTCTGCGACCCCGACTTTTGTATGCGCTTTGCCATTCGCCGCCGCATTGGCTCAGGGGGCACAGTCCGCTTGCAGTGGCTCTTCCGCACGAATAGCGTTGTTGGCCGCATGCGTCCTGGCATCGGGAGGGTCCGCCTACGTACTTATAGCTCTCTCTCTTCTCCGCCTAAGAGGAAGTACGTTCGTAAGAACTGATACATATACTTTTTGTGCGTGGAGCGTCTTCCTTTTGCGCAGCAACACCTTAAACTTTTAGGCCCTCCAAATTCGGGTCGGAGCGTAGCGGAGTGGGCCCCGAGTTTGAAAAAGGGCGACGGACGCTTGCGTCCTAGCCTCCAACAACGCCTCCCCGGCGCAGAGGGGCCCCCGGAGGGATGCTCAACCGCTCCACGCCACGCCGCTCGCGGCGGTCCTATCCCAGCTCCGCTGAGGGCGTCGCGTTATAGAGCACAAAAGAATTTTCCGACGCATCACCACAAACAAAATAGTCAGAGGGGTAGCAGTGCCAGTGCGCAGTGCCGCCGCCCTCGCCCTCGCCCTCGCCGCCGCCGCCGTCGCCGTCGCCGCCGCCGCCCTCGCCCTCGCCTCCGCCGCCCTCGCCCTCGCCTCCGCTAAGGCAATCGGCCTCAACCACCGCTCTGAGTAGACTTTTCGACAGCTCTTGGGGGCTACCGAAACTGTGTTCCCCTCTTAGGAATGTTGCTCCTCATGTTTATTTCTTCTCGACCGGGGTAATTCTTTTTCTCGCGATGTCCACCCTCCCGCGCCGCTCGCGCCGCTCGCGCCGCCTCGCCGCCGTCGCCACCGCCGCGCCCTCGCCAATCACGCCACCACCCGCCCGCCTCCTCGACCTCCCCACGGAGCTCCTCGTGCGCGCCCTCTCTCGCTTCGAATGCCCCATCGACATCGCTCGCGTCGCGGCCGTCTCGCTTCTCTTTCACGCCTCGCTCGCGGTGCAGGGCATCCGCTTGTGGGCGCAAGAGCGCGGCTTCGAGCTGCCGGCGCAGCCGGAGGACGAGGGCTGCGCCGTGCGGTGGCTGTGCTTCGCTGCGCTGCTGTGCGAGTCCAACCCGCCGGCGAGGGCGGCGGCAGGCCCATGGCACAGCGTCTTCATCGACGGCGAGGGGCGGCTCTCGTCGTGCGGAGCGGCTGAGCCTTGGAGCCCAGGCCTCCTCGGGCAGGGCGAGGGCGTGACACGGCGCAACACGCCGACCCGCCTCCCGTCGACGCTGGGCGGCGAGCGCGCCGTGAGTGTTTCGGCTGGAGGCGACCACAGCCTTGCCCTCACCGCCGGCGGCGCCGTCTGGAGCTGGGGCGATGGAACCTATGGCCGGTTGGGCCACGGCGACGAGGAGGACCTGCTGATGCCCAAGAAGGTCGAGGCCTTCGCTGGCCAGCGCGTCATCGCTGTGGCGGCTGGAATCAACCACAGCCTCGCCCTCACCGCCGACGGAGCCGTCTGGAGCTGGGGCGAAGGAAACTTTGGCCGGTTGGGCCACGGCGACGAGGAGGAGCAGCTGCTGCCCAAGCAGGTTGAGGCCTTGGCTGGGCAGCACGTCGTCGCTGTGTCGGCTGGATCCGCGAACAGCCTCGTCATCACCGCTGACGGCGCGGTGTGGAGCTGGGGCTATGGAGCCTGTGGCCAGTTGGGCCACGGCGACAAGCATGACCAGCATATGCCGAAGAAGATCGAGGCCTTTGCTGGGCGGCGCGTCGTCGCTGTGTCGGCTGGAGAACATAGCCTCGTCTTCACCGCTGACGGCAGTGTCTGGAGCTGGGGCCGTGGAGAATATGGCCAGTTGGGCCAGGGCCACGGCGACCTGCAGCAGCAGCTGCTGCCCAAGAAGGTCGAGGCGTTTGCGGGGCGGCGCGTCGTCGCTGTGTCGGCTGGACTATTCCACAGCCTCGCCCTCACCACCGACGGAGGTGTCTGGAGCTGGGGCAGGGGAGTCGATGGCAGGCTGGGCCACGGCGACGAGCAGAACCAGCTGCTGCCCAAGAAGGTCGAGGCCTTTGCTGGGCGGCGCGTCGTCGCTGTCTCGGCTGGATGCAGCCACAGCCTCGCAATCTCTGCCGACGGCGCCGTCTTTACCTGCGGCACGGGTGAACGCGGCTGCCTAGGCCACGGAGAGGACGTGTCGAACCAGCTGCTGCCCAAGAAGGTCGAGGCGTGGCCGCCTAGCACGCCCGCATCCGCTTGACTACTCAAATGGGCGGTTCGCGGTTCGGCCGGCTCTAAACGCTTCTCCACAGTGTCGGACCGCGGCGTCGTCGCGACGGACGCGGCTTGAAACACACGCGCGTCCGGATCGCGCGTATTACGGGCGACTCGTGACACGACAAGCGGGTTTCAAGCGAGGTACGCACGCATCACAAGGAGAGAGTAATATATCTTTACTTCCAACACCCGGACGTTCCCAGGGTGATGGAAGGTTCGACGCACCCCCGGACTGGGCAGAGAAATCCCAGGGCATCTGGCCTGGGCACTCCACCCCGCCCCCACTTGCCCTGACTGCACAGGATAGCGTGCCCCGACAAACGGCGACACATAGCTCGGGGGACACTGCGCCGGGGGGTATGCCTAACTTTGGTGCTTTGTGTGGGTCGCGTTCCCTTGGTAGCTGTGTGGTTGAAGCCCTCATGCCGCCGGCGTACGTCCACCCCCCCTTCGGAGGTGGTTCCCCCAGCGGCTGGCCCCTCGAGACTGTCGGTGCTTGGCGGGAGGAGGGGGAGAGGGAGGCCCGGTGGGAGGAGAGGGAGAGGGAGGCCCGGTGGGAGGGGAGGGAGAGGGAGGCCGCCTTGGGCTCTTCTCCTCCCCCCTCCCTAGGCTCTTCTCCTCTCCCCACCCTGGGCTCTTCTCCCCTCCTCCCTGGTACTCTCGGCCTGATTACCGGAGCGACTGCTGGAGCAGACGCTGGGGGGACACTCACGCCCGGAGGCGGTACGCACGACCCGGAGGCGTGGGGATGGGGGGGGGCCGCGCCGCCGCCGCCGTGCCGCCTTCTCCCGCTTTGACCTCCCCCAGCTGCTTCTCCTCAAATCAACCTGTGAGCTTGCGAGGGCGGCGGGGGTGGGAGTGCTCTCGGGCGGCGGGGTCCGCACCCCTTCTCCCAACTCGAGCCGTGGTGGCGAGTGGTCTCATGAGCGCACCGTTGGTGGCTGGCGGTCCTCGGGTCCGCACCCCTTCTCCCAACTCGAGCCGTGGTGGCGAGTGGTCTCATGAGCGCACCGTTGGTGGCTGGCGGTCCTCGGGTCCGCACCCCTTCTCCCAACTCGAGCCGTGGTGGCGAGTGGTCTCATGAGCGCACCGTTGGTGGCTGGCGGTCCTCGGGTCCGCACCCCTTCTCCCAACTCGAGCCGTGGTGGCGAGTGGTCTCATGAGCGCACCGATGGTGGCTGGCGGTCCTCGGGTCCGCACCCCTTCTCCCAACTCGAGCCGTGGTGGCGAGTGGTTTTATGAGCGCACCGTTGGTGGCTGGCGGTCCTCGGGTCCGCACCCCTTCTCCCAACTCGAGCCGTGGTGGCGAGTGTTCTTATGAGCGCACCGTTGGTGGCTGGCGGTCCTCGGGTCCGCACCCCTGCGCATCAGAGTGTATCTCGGCGAGGCCGCTGCGCTCACACGCATGTGATGCGAGCCTGCGCCACTCCATCCGGCCCGCAGTGGGCCCACGGGATGGTGAAGGGCACATGCGTAGAGAAGTGCGAGGGTGAGAGGCACTGGATTTCCAGAGTGCTCGCGACGGTCGGGAAGCGATCCCGCGTGGCAGCCCCGATGTAGGCGCACCGCCTGGCACCCTCACTTCACCCTCTCTGCTGCATGTTCGAGCTGTGGTTGGCTCTGAAGCAACTTGGCCGACAAAACTTTTCTGTCAGAATCGTCGCAGAAGCAAGACGGCCCGCTGGCAGGAGCGGAGCCGGTCGGTTTCCATTGTCAAGACTGCGCGAAGCGTTGTCGCGGGGCCCAGAGCCGGGCGCGAGGCGCTCGGCTGTGGTAGGCAAGTGGGCGAGCGCCATTGGGCGGCTCAGCCATAGGCACGTCGTAGGAACGCGTTAAGTTGTCTTGAAAGTAGGCGCGTACGTCCTCTTTCGTTTTCACAGCAGAGCCAGACTCTGTGTGAGCTCTGTGTCTTGATTTGCCAACAACATACCTAAGACTCTGTGTGTGAGGGCTGGATGCACCAGTACTCCGGTGTGAAGAAAGGCTCCGCCGCGCTCGTACCTCGGGGCTACCTTGCCAACTCAGCCTGCAGCTCCATTCGTGCACGGTCCTGTGGAGGCATGTCGTCGAGCTGCATTCTCCTCCTCGCGTGGCAAAGCAGTGGGCTGCTCTCCAGCTCCGTGCAGAGCAAGAGCCTGCTGCGCGCACACCGGATCGGGCCGCGCCGTTCAGCCATCGCCGCCGCCGAGTCCTGGACTTACGATGGGAAGGAGCCGGGAGACAGCCGCTACAGCAGCAGCAGCAGCAGCTATCGCGTGCGAGAGCGCACGGCGGGCGGCTACGGCGGCGGCTATCGCCGTGAGGGTGGCGGCGGCTACCGGGACGGCGGCGGCTACCGGGAGGGCGGCTTCCGCGAGCGCAGGGCCAGCGGCTACGACAGCCACCGCGGCGGCGCCGCGTCTCGCGACCGGCGCGACGTGCGGCGGCAGTCGCAGGGCGGGACCACCAAGCCCGGCGACTGGACTTGCCCGAGCTGCGGCGCGAACGTGTTTGCGTCCAAGGCGCGGTGCTTCAAGTGCAACACGCTCAACCCGGACCCTGTCGCACGCGCCGCGGCCGCCTCCCGCGCCGGCGGGCGGGGGGTGCCTCCGTGGCACCCCGACAGCAACGGCGGCCGCGGCGGCGGCGCGGTGTGGGAGTGGCAGGGACTCGAGGGGGGGGAGGACTTCGAGGCGGGGCTGGCGGAGGACGAGGCTGCCTTCCGCGCCGCCTTTGGCGCCGCCCGATCCTCCGGCATCGACTTCGCATCGTACGCCGACATCCCGGTCGAGGTCGAGCTGCCGCGCAGCATGCCGCAGCTCACGGCAGAGACGGCGCCGGTCGAGCGCTTCGACGAGCTCGAGTGCGGCCGCGTCCTGCAGCGCAACTTGCGCCTCGCCGGCTTTGAGGTGCCGACGCCGGTGCAGGCGCACTCTGTGCCGGTGGCTCTCGCGGGCGGGGACGTCATTTCGGTGGCGCAGACCGGCTCCGGCGAGACGACTCCGCCTCCATGCGCTCCCCCCCCCCCCCCTCTTCACACCTCTCCGCTGTGAGCAGGCAAGACGCTCGCCTTCATGCTCCCGATCCTCAAGCGGCTGCTGCAGAGCGGCAGTCGGAAGGGGACGCGCGGGTACGGCGGCGCGTACCGCCGCGGCAGGGGGGAGCCGGTCGCTATCCGCGCCCTGGTCTTGGCGCCGACCCGCGAGCTCGCCCAGCAGATTCACGCCGAGGCGGAGAAGTTTGCCTTCCGCACCGGCCTGCGCGTCTGCGTGGCGTACGGCGGGACGCCCTTCGGTGCGCAGATGCGCCGAGCTCGAGGACGAGGTCTGCCGAGATCACGCGAGATCACGGCCGGTCCGGCGAGGGGACGTAGGTGCGCAGATGCGCGAGCTCGAGCGCGGCTGCGACATCCTCGTCGCGACGCCCGGCCGGATCAACGACATGGTGCAGCGGGGCCGCGTCTCGCTGCGCGCCGTGCAGTTTCTGGTCCTCGACGAGGCGCGAGACTCTTCCGAGACTCGTCCGAGACTCTTCCGAGACACCTCGGAGACACGTCCGAGACACTTCCGAGACACCTCCGAGACACCTCCGAGACACCTCCGAGACACCTCGGAGACACGTCCGAGACACTTCCGAGACACGTCCGAGACACCTCCGAGACACTTCCGAGACACCTCCGAGACACTTCCGAGACACTTCTGGTCCTCGACGAGGCGGCGCCGGGCGGCTCGAGAGGGGCCCAGTCTCCCTCCTTCCTTCCCGGGTTGAGCGGGCAACGAATGAACACCCTCTCTCTCCCTCTCTCTCTCCCTCTCTCTCTCTCTCCCTCGCTCTCTCTCTCTCTCTCTCTCTCTCTCTCTCTCTCTCTCTCTCTCTCTCTCTCTCTCTCTCTCTCCCTCTCTCTCTCCCTCTCTCTCTCTCTCTCTTGTGGCACGCACACACCACCACACAGGCTCTACGTGACAGTCCAGTGCTTTGACATCGCACACACCGACAACACCGGCACAACAAACGCCCGATCTCTTCTCTGCCTCTGTCAGGCCGACCGGATGCTCGACATGGGGTTCGAGCCGCAGATCCGCTCAATCGTCGAGGAGGCCGATATGCCGGCTGGGCGTCGCCGGCACGGCGGCGGAGGCGGCGAGGGCGGCGAGGGCGGTGAGGGCGGCGGGGGCTATTATGGCGAGGAGGAGGGCGAGGCGGAGGGCGAGGCGGCAGGGCGGCAGACGGTTATGTTCTCCGCAACCTTCCCGAAGGCCGTGCGCGGCATCGCAAACTCCTTCCTTGTCGACCCGCTGATGCTCAAGGTCGGCCGCGTGGGCGGCGCGGCGCTCTCCGTCACCCAAAAGGTCGTCTTCGTTGCGGGCCGCGACAAGACGGACGAGACGGTCGAGCTGCTGCAGGCGGTGCCCGGCAAGACCATCGTCTTCGTCAATACGAAGCGCGCCGCCGACACACTTGAGGCCGAGCTGAGCGCGTGCGGCCACCCCGCGGCGTCGGTGCACGGCGACAAGGACCGCTCCGCCCTCTTCTCACAACCTCCCTCTCTCGCCGTCTCCGTCCCCTCCCTCGCCCGACTCTGCCCACCACCCTGCCCCCTCCCCACCACCCCGCCCCCTCCCCACCGCCCTGCCCCCTCCCCACCGCCCTGCCCCCTCCCCACCGCCCTGCCCCCTCCCCACCGCCCTGCCCCCTCCCCACCCCTGTCTCCCCTCCTCCCTCGCCCTCTCCCCTCCCTCACCATGCCCCACCGCTCGCCCCTCCGCAGGACCAGCGCGCGAGAGAGCGCGCCCTCGGAGACTTCAAGTCGGGGCGGATCAACGTCCTCGTCGGCACGGACGTGCTCGGCCGCGGCATCGACGTGCCCGAGGTGACGCACGTCATCAACTACGACGCGCCCGACGACATTGAGGACTACACGCACCGCATCGGTGAAGCGTCCTCGACACTTCCTAGACACTTCCTAGACACGTCCTAGACACTTCACCTCGCCGATCCGGCGGTATGCGGACCAGGTGGTGCACCGGCTGCTGCGAGACACTTCCAGGACACGTCCTTGACGTGTCCGAGACATGTCCCACAGGCCGCACGGGCCGCGCGGGCAACACCGGCCTCGCCACCACCATGCTCAACGCGGCCAACCGCAACATCGCGCGCGACTTGCTCCACACGCTCACCACCTCCAAGCAGGAGGCGAGGGTCGCCCACGCACGCACGCACGCACGCACGCGCACGCACGCACGCACGCACGCACGCACGCACGCACGCACGCACGCACGCACGCACGCACGCACGCTCGCACACTGCTCACCCACGCGCACTGGGCCTTGCACTTTCAAACCGCGCCAGCTCCTGTCTCGGGACGGGAAGTCGCGAGGGCTAGCCCGGCTCTTCCCCACCACCTTGTGTGTGGAGACGTTTACCTTCCTTGTACCTTACCTTAGGCGCCAGAGTGGCTCGCCGACATGGCGCCACTCAGGAAGGGAGGCGGCCGCGGGCGCCGCGGCGGCGGCGGCGGGCGAGGGCGTGGCAGGCGCCCCAGCCGGTACGGAGGCGGCGGCGGCGGCGGCGGAGCCTACCGCGGCGGCGGGGGCGGGGGCAGTCGCCGCTGGTGAGTGCGAGCGCCGACGCCCCGAGCGACGGCGCAAGCCAGGCTTCGACGCGCGCCAGCACTGCGAGCGCGAGGCTGAGGTGCGAGCTCTGTGGGGGGGAGGTCAGGTGTTCGTGTGTTAGAGGGACGGGTTGAGAAGTTACTGAGTTTCAGAAAGTAAAATACGTATGTAGGAAGTGAATAGCGAACCAGAAGGGGGGGGGGGGGAGCGTTGTTGTGTGGGATGTGTGGGGAGGCAGGCTGGTGGGCCAACAACTTGCAACTACTCTCGTCGACTCCACATGGGACCATGCCGCGGCATGTGCGCGATGCGCGGGCTGCGAAAGCGAGGAATGTAGAATGCGGCCAGGTGTAGGGCTGAGACCGTGAGGGAGTGATAGCGACGAGAAGTGAGGAGAGAGAGAAGCAGCCCCGCCCGAGACGCGAGAGAGGAGAGGGTCAGAGAGAGGAGCCTGCCAGGGAGCGGCCGCACATTGCTCGGTACCCCCCCTGCCCTTCTAAAGTCATGGCCGACCCCCCCCCCCGTTTTGAGCAGCAGCGCTCTGCTGCTGGGGGGTCAGACCCCCCCCCCTAGCAGCAGGGATGACTTTAGAAGGGCAGGGGGGGTATACGGCTCTACCGAGCAATGTGCGGCCGCTCAGGAGCAGGAGGCAGCGTGACGGAGGGGCGAGGGCAAACATGGGTGACGGCTAACAGTTTGGCTAATAAACACAAAACAAACTAGGCCGACTGCGCAGCGGCTCAGAGACAGAGTCAGGGGCTAGTACCGCGCTCCGGGTTTCCCCTAGCAGCAGAACGCCCCCTCTACTCGGAGCTAGTAAACACCAGACATGCACTCCAACTTAGCGACGGCGTCACCACGTCAAACCCCCCCTAGATGGCCCCGACAGACCATTCCTAATGACCCACCCACCCCAAAGGCGCGCAGGCGAGGGTGAACTGTCCGAGAGGGGCGGCGCTCTCGTCGTAGAGGCTCCACTCCAAGTGAGTCTGCGGCCCCCCCGCGTAGCTCGTTTCGTACGACGACGTCGAGTCCGGCGGCGAAGCGGACCGAGGGCCGAGGAACGAGGCCACTTGAAGAGGCACTTGCAGCTCGTATTAGCGACCCTTGGCCAGCATGCTCCTCACTCGAGCTTGCCCGCGTGACGAACGGGGAGAGCAGCCGGTCGCGCTCAAACTCCTCGCGGTCGCGCTTGCGCGCCGCGCCGTCGGGGCCATAGGACCCGAGCCGGTTCTGCGCCCGCTCGAGCCAGCCGTAGAGCTGAGGGCGGCAGCGCTTGTAGGCGAGCGCCGCGTCGACCGCCGCGTGCCAGTTCTGCCGCGCGCGCATCCGTGCGGGTGGGAGGCGGACGATCCTGGTGCACGGATGGAAGGCGCGGTCCGCAATCTCTGTGGTGGTCGGGACGACGACCTGCTTGAGGGCGCTGCAGCTCGAGAAGGCGCTGTGCTCGATCAGCGTGAGGCTGGCGGGGAAGGTGATGGACGCGAGGGAGCTGTTGTAGGAGAAGGCCGATCTTCCGATGCTGATGAGGCCGTCGGGAAGGCGGATGTGGTTCAGGTCGTGGCACCTGGAGTCGAGTGCGTTGGTATTGAGGAGGAGAGACAGACGTGTCATATGGAGGAGAGACACGCGCGCGCACCAGAGGAAGGCGGTCCGGTGGATGCGCTCCACACTGGCGGGAATGTTGATGTCCCGGAGTCTCTTACATCCGACGAACGTGCCTTGTCTGATCTCCTTGAGGCCGGCGGGAAGGAGTACAGACCTGACGCCGCAATTCTGGAAGGCGTGCTGCTCGACAGAGCAGCCGGCAGGAATGACAATCGACAGGAGCCCGCTGCAGTTCATGAAGCTGCCTTTACTAATATAGACGAGCGAGTTCGGGAGTGTGACTCGTTGCAGGCACGACTTGGCGTGAAAGGCGTTGCGGGGAATTTGTGTCGTGCCGTCTGGCACCTCGACGAGTTGGTGGAAGCCGTCCCAAGGCTTTGGGTCAATAGGCGGAGGAGGTGGCTTCTCCGGCCCGCCGAAGAAGTACCTCAACATCTTGGGACGACGCATTTTGCGAGCATACTGATTTGGACGGCTTCTCAACGCGATATTGGCATACCGACGGCTAAGGCCGAAATCGGTTCACACCTGCTCTTGCAGGTGTGAACACAAAGGATTCGCTGTATCTACTCAGCTGCTCCGCTTACACTTACCTGTGAAGCGTGAACAGCGGATTTTGAATCAGCGTTCTCCTTGAACGATATCGGTGTCGAAACACCGCTCTGACAGCGCTCACAGCTGAGCCGCCATCAACGACTTGCACCCCAGCTGTGAATTGACGCCTTGCCCACGATTCCCGCAGAATTTTCGCTAATCTCTCCTGCCTAATAGGTGCACGAGCCCGAACGGCGTCTGGACGGACGGTGCGCAGGGGACGGACTGCTTCGCAGTCCCGGGACTCGGAGAGCAGTGCGGCTTCTCCCGCGGCGCACCTCGAAATGTTGGAGATCCCGTGACGTTCCTGGGCGTGACCTACTGAGTATGATTGTGTCGACGACCTTCATCTACCGACTGCTCTATCTGATCCTTGGCTTCTCCCTCCTCGCGCTCCTCGCCGTTCCTGTGGTCGTCGCGTGTCAGCCCCTTTGGAGAAGGACGCCCGCACTCGGCTGGACACGCGCTCGCTAGACGGGCTTCGAGGTCTTGCGGCGATGCACGTCGCGATAGGGCACTACGTGTCCTTCACTGGGCTCGCCGGGCGATTCTCCGATCTGCAGGCCGGCTCCTCCATGGGACTCGTCTACCTCCTCTCCGGGTTTGTCATGGCGTTGGGCTATGGACAGAAGGCCGTTCGTCCCTCTCACTGGCTCCGGCTGCGACAAGTGCTGCTGCGCCTGCTGCGACGCGGATTGCTGCTTCCGCCCTTCTGCGTCTCGCGCGCCGACGCGGCAGCCGACGCGCCGATCTTCGCTGGCCGGCGCTTCTATGAATGTATCTTATTCCGGGGCCGGTGTGCGGGGAGCGAACCTAGAACGACCGCCCAGAAGCTTTCTGAGCGAACCAATCGGGCCAGGATCATCAGCATATGTCCCCTCCACAACATCGTGGGCGTTTGAGCGGTATTTGAGGAGCACCGCCACGATGAAGTTCGGCCGGGTGGTCTCCAGACCCCCCCCCGCAGATGGCCCCGGACGCCGGAGCAGCAGAGGCTCCGTGGGGTCGCAAAGTCGACGCTGGGAGTCGCACTCGTCAAACCATCGCAGCACCACGCGATCCGCACGTACCGCCCACATCCCCTCCACCGCTGAGAAGGCGCAGATCGACCGCCGGGCCGCGTACTTTAGTCGCCTCGTTACCAAAACGGCGAATTCCCCCCCCCCCCCCTCTACGCGGAACGTGCGTACAAACTTCTGCAGAAACTTTTTCTGTTCAGCCCGGACCGCGCCAACCGAAACCACTACCGGCCGGCGGGGGTCGCACCCGCATGTACTACGTACTGTAACCGTGGGACTAGAGCTGCCCGCGCTCTGCCCGCACTCTGGCCCCTGGACTCGTGTCTGTGTTCCCTCTGTTGCTGCCCGCCACGCTCTGTCGTCTGTCTCCGCGGGTGCGGCGAGGGTTCGTCCTCACTCGAGCACGATTGCCGACGACTCGTCTCGCCCCTCGGTGCGTCGGCGGCGTCGCGCCGGCCCCTGCAGCGGCTCGTCGTCGGCGTCGGCCGACGTGCCGGCCACAGGTCGAGCGTCGGGCCTCATCCCGCGCACGGCAAGGCCAAACTGAGAAGAGTAGAGGATCGTGGCGCTGGCGACCTCATCGTGCACGGTCCAAGACTGGCTGGACCAGGCAAGCGAAGTTGGGGCGGCGCCGGTGCTGCTCTTGAGCGCGCCCATACCCTCCTTCTTGGACGACGTTGACACTCCCTTGCCCGCCCAGGCCGCCGTCTGAAAGCCTTGGGTGGGCGTGGGCACGTCGCTGAGTGTCGCGCGCTTCCACGAGACCTCCACGCGGCCATACGGCGGTGGCGCGCCTTCGGAGGCCTCGCCATCGTCGCCCGTCTCGTCCGCCTGCTTGAACTTGAAGGCATGCGCCACCACTGTCGCGCCGGCCGCTGTCTGCTGCCCGGTCTTGAGCGGTCCCAGCTGGCTGGAACTCGCCGCCTCGCCCACAATCTGCCAGTTGTACCCGATGCTGGAGCCATCCACCGTCACAAAGGCCTTGACGCGACCTGCTCCCGCTTCGTTGGCCAGCTCGACGAAGAACTCTTGATCGTCCTCGCCCGCCACCCACTCGCGCCCTTGGGAGTCGGTGTACTCCTTGAGCGGCTCACCCGTGGCCGCGTCGACGAGCCGTAGCGAGAACTTGGCCACGCCTGTAGCGCGCCCCATCTTGCAACCGCGGACTGGCTTGGGCAACGCTTTGTGAAGGCTCACTGTGAATTAAACCACCGATCTTCAACTGAGCCCCCCTGGGGACCATCGGTGCCTGCAGAGCGAGGCATCTTGTTCCCAAGAGGCGCTCGGACACACGTGAACGAAACGGAGGCGCCTGGAATTAAACCCAAGCTCCTCACTGTGAATTAAATGCCTTCATTCCTCGGCATCCGATGAGAAGAGATCGATCCATCGGGTTAAGACATCAGACTTGAACCTGTGTGTGTGTGTGTGTGTGTGTGTGTGTGTGTGTGTAGTGTCCCCAGCTATGGGCGTGTCCACGTTGGAGCCAGGTAGGTGTGGTGTGGACGCGAGAATAGCTCCGCCGTTCTCATGGAGGCAACCGATGCGAGTCGACTGGTGTGTGTCGTCGTGGCTCGTAGCAAGAATACTCACTCACCGTATTCAGACCCCTTCTTCAATACGCTCGAGAGCGCCGTGTAGTGGTAGGAGTCGATTCACGACGGCTAGATAGATTAGATAGAGCTTTCCGCTTCTGACACACCGTCTTTTTCAGTGTATGTGGCTCTTACGAACATCCCCGAGGGTGAACTGCTGACAGGGTTTGCGATGAGGAGATCCGAACTTTTTTCTGCTGATTTTTTCGCGGAGAGGTGGGTTTGTCTTTCATTGGGTTCCGCAGCACGACTCGGATGTCCCTGACAGCCATTCCTTAGGAGACGAATTAAAAGCGCGCGGATTCCCATCGTGCGATAAGTAATCTCGGCCCCACATAGAGCGGAGATCATACGTGTCCTGGACGTTGTCAATTAGTTTGGGTCCGGCCGCGGCAACTCCTTCCCACTGGTGCCGCTCGATCGTGAGATATGAGGCTCAAGGCGATTTTGACGCTGCTCACCACGCTGGCGCTCGCCTCGGGGGACCCCGACCAGTGGAAGCTCGACATGCAGGACGCCGCACAAGCCGGCTACCAGTCCTGGCTTCTCGACAATATCTCGGAGCTCTTTGGCTTCAACTTCAACTTCGGCGGCAGGCGCCGACAGGGCTCGCCCTCCCTTGAAAAGCCCGACTCGGCGGTGGAGGAGGCCATGTGCACGGCTGACGGGTGCTCCAGGCCCACCTCGTTTGAACTTGCCGCCGAGGCTCAGTCAAAGGCAATCATCAAGAAGAAGGCGAATACGGACCCTGCCTTACGGGCCCCGCCGTACATCCGCATCCCACCTCTCCCACCCTCTCTTGCGCCTCGCAGGCCCGCCTTCTGCGGCGCGATGTCTCTCGCGCCGTGCCATCCGTCCTCGTCAATGCGTCCCTCAGCAAGGTGCACGCATGGCTCGACAAGATGGACGGTGGACAAGGCCGCCCACCGAGCCCTGAGTACAACCCGACCATGCCACCGCTCGACCCTGCTGCACCGGACGATGCTGCGTACAAGCTAATGAGCGACGCGCTCCGCAACGACCCCTTCGCCACGTTCGAGGCGGTTCCGGTGGGCAAGGGCGCGGACGTCCGCACCGTCCTCGTCATCGACCGGGGCTTCGAGCAGGCGCTGGACCTGGAGTCACGCGCGCCCGTCCCCTCCTACAAGGGGCGCCGCCTTGCTGAGGACGATGACAACAAGCGCCGCCTCTCGATCTACCCTTCGGGCGCCCCGTACACCCCCAATGACGACCGCAGTGAGGTCCTCTATCCCAACAACCTCTACTGGGGCTGGTCGACCCTCGTCTCGACCGGCAACCGCGTCAGTCCATGGTGCTCGGGCACCATGATCTCGCCGACCGTCCTCCTCACCGCCGCCCACTGCGTCGCCGCCGGCGGCTCGGCTGACTGGGCTGACGGCACCAACTGGCTCACCCAGCCGCAGGTTGGATATTCACTCTTTCTCTCCCCCCATTCCTGCCCAACTAGAATCTGACGACAGCCCCCTACGATGCAGATTTGCGTGCGCGACGCGCAACGGACGACACCGACAGCGGCAGACCCGACCGAGGAGAACTGCGTGAGCAACGGAGGCATCCTCGCGACGTGGCGCAAGATGACCACCTTTGTCAAGTGGACGCGCGACTGGGACTCGGACTGGGACGTCGCCTGGATCACCCTCACGGCCCCCGTCGGCTATACCAGCGGCTGGAAGGGCATCCGCACAGACTCAGTCCCATACCCGGCAGGCACCATCCTCAACGTGGCGGGGTACGGCGGCGACTGCCCAGCGGGCGGCGACTGCTCCGACCACATAAAGACGATGGGCTGCCCAATCGAGTCGTCCTGCACAAACAACGAGCGCTACTACTACAAATGCGACACCATCGGCGGTGGTGGAGCGCTAGCCCATGAGCCCGCAATGTGTGGAGAAGCTTACCCGACCTGATCTTGCTCAGGCATGAGTGGCTCCGGCGCCTACCTGTACTATCCGTCGCTCCCGGTCCCTGACAACCGCGTCGTCATCGGCGTTCATGCCTACGGCAGAGCATAGCGTGGCGCTCCTGCCACACCATCCCATGTGGTGCACGCCTTTCACGATCTCGATTGAATAGGCTTCAACAGCGCCACGTGTGGCCCGTTCAACCGTGCTGTCCGCATCCGCCCCAACATGCTCGCCGCGATGTGCTCGACGACCGACGACATGCTCTGCTTCTGAGTGCTTGGGTGGCCCCGCAACAACCAAGACATCGCAGCGTCCCCCACGTCTCTCGACTAGAGCCCTTTATCGACCAAATCACGGCCGCCGTGCCTTTCCATGGACCATGCCATCCACTCATGCCCCCAAACAGATATGCGCCCCCTCACTTATCGATGATGTCCATGTCCGCACACATGCATGACTTTCCGCATGACCACTCACCCGTCGGTGGAGTGTGTCTCCTTCCTCTCTCTTGTGCACTATTGCGCGCGTGTGCCTCTACTAGCTCATGTTTCGGACTTTTGCGTGGTAAGGTATGGTCCGCCAACCCTCCTCGAGACCATAGTACCTCTTTTCTTTAGAAAAATCGGCGCGTTTCACCTTTCAGCCGGTTCAGACCGAGGTCCGAGCGAACGCGCGCCGCCGCCGGGGGGAGCGGGAGGCGGTGGGGGCGCGAGATCCGAGATGCAGATGGGCGGGCGGTGTAAGGCATAAATGTAAATGAAAAAATGGGCTACGCGAAAAGAAACGGGCCGGCCCAGCGCGGAAAAGAAAACCGCCGAGGTAATCACGCGACACCGGCTGCGTACACGCGCATGGCGATCGTGAACGGCTCCTTGCACAGCGGACATGGCATTTGTGCCTCCCTGAGACGACTGGGGCAATCCTCGCAAACGCAGTACTGTTCGCACGGGAACATGACGTGCGTGATCGGCTCGGCCATGCACACGACGCACATGAGTGGTTCAACCTCGCCCACTGCCGTTGCCGCCGTCTCAGCAGCGGCCGCCGGCGCCTCGGCAACCTCAAGCGCTGCGAGGCGAAGCGCCGAGCGCCGATAGCTCCTCCTCCAAGGCGTCGATCGCGCCCGCGTGTGGCGTGGCGTCGTCGATCGCGATTCGCAACGCCGCGGCGCTGTCCGCGCTCACGAGGCGCTGCAGCGCGGCCAGCGCCTCGCGCTCCGACGCTGCCTGCAGTAACCACCCAACGCCGAGCCGCACGACGAGAGCCGCCCCTCGCCGTCGATGAAGACGCTGTGCTGCCAGCCTCCCGCCACCCTCACCGGCGGGTTGGACTCGCGCAGCAGCGCCGCGAAGCACAGCCACCGCACGGTGCAGCACTCGCCCTCTGGCTGCGCCGGCGGCTCGTAGCCGGCCTATTGCAGGCGTAAGCGGATGCCCTCCAGCGCAAGCGAGGTGTGGAAGAGCAGCGAGACGGCCGCGACGCGAGCGATGTCGGCGGGATCGCAGCGAGAGACGACGCGCACGAGGAGGTCGGCGGGGAGATCGAGGAGGCGGACGGGCGGCGGCGTGTCTGGTGCGGCGGGGCGCCGGCGGAGGCGGCGACAGGCGGCGTTTTTCTATTTTTCCCTCTTTTTTTTCTATTATGTAGCTCTTACGTACATTCCCGGAGGAGGACTGCTGACGGGGTTTGCGATGAGGAGCGATCCGAACGTGGTATTCGGGTGATCAGATCACTACCGCCGAAACGCAAGAGCACTGCGACGCATCGGGCTCATGCTAGCATCCACCTCGCGAGCCGACCGTCTGGCTCATCAGCGAGGCTGCCGGCTGGCCTGGGCGTGCAACTTCAGTCGGCCTCAGTGGCGCGTGTTCTCACCAGAACAGTGCCTCCGCGGCGCTGCGGCGGCGCCCGAAAGGCCGATCCGACCCGGCAGCCCCCCGGAGCGTGCATCCAAGCGTCCGCCACCGCCGGCTCAGCCCCGGCTCGACATGACTCTGGCCCGCGCGGGGTCGCCGACGGCGCCGAGTCGGCGCCAGAGGCACGCCCGGCGGCCGGATGGTCGCCTCGAGCGCTGAGCGGCTGCCGCCACGGTCACTTACGCTCGAGTTGCGCCAGGTGCGCCTCTCGGTGGCCCGGCGCGGCCGCACGTGCTCTCTGTAGATGTCTGCTCTCACTCGACGGCAGGCGTGCTCCGTGCTCTCGCCCGATTCTCTCCCTGCCGCCGGCCTCCGCCCCCGAGCGACCGCCGCCGCACACCGACTATTGCCGGTATGACTGCCGTCCCTCACTCAGCCGTCCGTTTGTCCTCAGCGCTCGCACGACCGACGTTCTTCCTCCTCTGCGGCCTCGCTCGGGCCCGCTCGTCGACACGCGCAACCAGCAGACGCCCGTGTCGGAGCTTCTGTGCCGGCTTTGAGCTTCCATCGCTGATGGGGGCACGCCCGGCCCGGCACTCTCGCACACCGTGGAGCGCGGCACCGCGCGCGCTCACGCCGCCCACCTTTGCTGCCTGCGCAGGTGCGGCTCTGTCCCGGCGGCTCACTCATCGAGCACCTCACGGCTGCGCGGCGGCTCACTCATCCGCACCACCGCGACCGGTGCGCCATCCCACATCACGCCTCTCGCCCACGTCCACCCGCACATACACTCTCTCACTCTGTCATGAGTAGTCTTCAATCGACACGGTCTCTTGGAGTAGTCACATCAGCACCGGCGCCGGCACAGCGCACCGCTACACTCGCCTCCGTTAGGTTGCAAACATCGCCCTCAACATCCGCTTGCGCCTCACACGTCCGGGGGCAGTGTCGCGTGAGCCACAGCTTAGCACCGACGCCAGGCTCTTAGCTGTTAGCTCTACGTGTACGTGTGTGTGTGGTGGGGGGGGGAGGGCGGCGTAGTCAAAAGAAAAGCCTCAGTCGAGAGAGGCTAGTAGCCCCTTCGAGTGCGGGCTCCGCGCCCGTCTTGTCCTGGCATATAAGAGAGGCGAATGGGACAGGGGTTGAAGGGGTACACGCTTGGTACCCGGCCGTTTTTCGCGTTTCTCTACAAAACTGTGTCCAAGCCGAAGGCCCGAAGCGCAGGTCCGAGCTCGACATGCGACCAACGTGGTCCCGCACACCAGTGCTCGTGCTCGCACGTGCGGCCGCCTCTCCTGCTCGACTACTCGTGCTCTGCCTCTGCGCGCTCGCTGCGTCCGTGCCACTTCTTCGCTGCCTCTCGCCGCTGCTCCTGTCCTTGACTGCGCCTCGGGTCGAGGCGCCAGCAGCAGCGTCAATGGAGTGGCTGGTCCACACTGCAGCAGCGCCGCGGGCGGACGCGAGAAGGCAAACGCGACCGTGCCGATGAGCGCGAGCAGAAGCAGCGGGAGCGCGGGGCAGCACGACGGGTCGGGCAAGTTCTTGGCCCAGCGCCGCGCCTTGCCCATGCTGCCGCCGCCGCCGCCGCCGTCGGCGTCGCCGACCACAGGCTCGTCGTCCGGCGCGGCATCGTCGTCGGCGGCAGGGGGTGGGGGGTCGGCGGGCACGTCCTCGTCGTAGCCGTCGTCATCGGGATCAGGAGTGGCGTATCGCGCGGTCGACATGCCGGCGAGCTCGTCGACCGTCGAGTAGGTGCCTGCGACCGAGCACGGGGGTGCGTGACGCTCGGACCGACGCATGGGACCGGCTCTTCCGCGCGTCGAGAGCGGCGACGCTTTCGAGGCGCGCGGCAGAGGCCCGCGGCGTGCTTCCGAGCGCGTCCGCGGCCGCGACGCGGCAGCGGGAGGTGCCCCGCCCACCAAGGCAGCCGGCCCGGCCGCTGCGGGGCCGTCGCGGGGGCGCAGGCGGGCGGGGCGACCTCAGATTTCGCGGCTGGCAGCGGGCGCCGCCAGCCGGGCGGAGCACTCGCGGGCCGACTTTCTGGCCCAGCGAGGCCGCTGCGGGACACACCGGCGGCTCGGTTCGCTCCTCAACGCAAACCCGGTCGAGCAGAAATTCAGGTGTGTGTGTAAAGGCGGCGCGGCACGGTAGGATGGCCCTGTCTGGACGTCTTTCGTACGCCGGGAGTTTCTCGAAAACTCAAAGTTGCCGGAGGCTCTCCCGCGGCAGCTCGCGGTGGGCACCACTACGAGCGTCAGGCGGCGCAGCGCGGTGGCTTCACGACGGGCCGCCGTACGCCAAGAGTAGCACAGTCTTGTGCTGGTGTGTTGCAATGGTGCCCCTGCGCGCCGCGACGGCACGCGCCGACGCCGTCGACGCCCCCAAGGCTGAAGCCGACGCCCTCTCCGACAGCCTCGAGTGCGTCTCGCTCGACGCGCCGGCTGTCGTCGACATGCCGCTCGAGCTGCTCGACCTCATCGTCCTGGCGGGCGGTTGGCGCGGCTGGTTCACGTGGAGAGCTGTCAGCCGGCGATGGTCGGAGCTCCCGGAGCCCTTCCGCCGGCACGTGTGCGTCGTGCCGGACGATCAGGAGACCATCGTGCGCGGCATCAGCAACGCTCCCGCCAACGAGGGCTGCGGTAGGCCGGTGGTGCTCGTGCGTCCCGGTACCTACGCGGAGAGCGTGCGCGTGCTCCGTGACGTGACGCTCGTGGGCTTGGGCGAGGTGGTCGTGCGCGCGCCAGGATGGGAGAGCGCGCTCGTCTGGGGCGGCTACACGGTGCGCGGCGTCAAGTTGTTCGACCAGTGTGAGCTGCAGTCGTCCAACGCGGGCGCTGGGGCACGCGTGCACAACCAGCGCAACCAATCTCAGGCGACGGCCGTCTATTGCACGTGGGGCACACCACTGTTGACTCACTGCCGCATCGAGGGCACCGTTCACGTCGCTGGACGAGGCGCGGCACCGACCGTGCGCCATTGCTCGATTGAGGGGTCGCGAGGCGCCGGCTTGCGAGTCGTCGATCACGCCGGCGGCCGGTACGAGCACCTGCGCATCTCCGGCAGCCGGACCGCCGCGGCGCACGTCTCGCTCAATGCGCGCCTCGACGCCTTTGATCACAATGCGTTCGTTGGCAACGGCGTCGATGGCGTCGTGCGCGGCGACGGCGCGTGGGGCGCGAGCCTCGACACGCCCGACGCCGAGGCAGCAGACGGGTCCGACTCGGACGACGAGGTGCTGTACGGCGATGCGGTGGCATAGCTGTGAACAGCGTCTCTTCACACCTCTTGCTGTGAACAGGTGCTGTACGGCGATGCCGAGTTCGAGTAGCTGCGAGGCTGCGGGCCGGGGGGGGGAGCCGTCAGCGCCAGAGCCGCCGCCGAGCGGCACCGCGCCGCCGCCCGGCTCCTCCGAGACTCTGGACGTGGGCGGCTGGCAGGTCGTCGTCACCGACGGGCACGCGGTGCTGCCCGAGGGCATGACGCACCTCCTCGTCTCGGTCGCCTTCCCGCGCAGCCTTGCCTCCATCGGCAGCAGCGCCTTCGAGGGCTGCTCCTCGCTCTCCTCCATCGACCTCCCCGCCGGCCTCACCTCCATCGGCATGGGCGCCTTCGCCCACTGCTCCTTCATCACCACCGTCACCCTCCCCGCCAGCCTCACCTCCATCGGCCCCAGCGCCTTCCACCTCTGCTCCTCTCTCACCCACGTCACCCTCCCTGCCGGCCTCACCTTCATCGGCGAGGCCGCCTTCTTCCGCTGCTCTTCTCTCACCCGTGTCACCTTCCCTGCCGGCCTCACTTCCATCAGCGCCGCTGCCTTCTCCGGCTGCTCCTCGCTCCTCTCCATCGACCTCCCCGCCGGCCTCACCTCCATCACCTCCACCTTCGACCACTGCTCCTCGCTCGTCTCCATCCACCTCCCCGCCGGCCTCACCTCCATCGGCGAAGGCGCCTTGAGCGGCTGCGCCTCCCTCACCTCCGTCACCGTTCCAACCACCGCCACCATCCGCCTCCACGTCTTCCCACCCGCCACCACCGTCCTCCGCCTCCCGCCCAAGAGCATGCGCGACCTTCAGCGCTGGTACGAGGCGGTGGATGGGGCTCTGGCCTACAATCGCTGCCGCCCCCTCATCTACGGCTGGCTAGAGGCCCAGATCAGGCTCGGCTCTTACGGCCCGGACGGCGCGGCGCGCCAGCGCGACCGCGAGGAGTTCGAGGGCGACCTTGCGCTGGCGACTGCTCGCGGACCAGACTGACATCAGGCGTGACTGTTGCTGCGGCTGAGAGAGTCGTCATAGGTGCCTGAGAGAGTCTCATCAGAGAGGCATCGGCCAACGCGTGTCCCGCTTCTGGCTTCGTATTCGTGTTGTGCACGTGCCATGTGCTAGTTGCTAGAGGTAGAGCTGCCTAAGTGAGGGGCGGTGGTGGCTGGTGCTGCGAGGTGGCCCCCAGGACACCACCCCGGCGCTCACTTCGGATCCCCTTCGCCGCACACAGAGGCGTGACGACGCACCCGCTGACACTCCACTCTCCAGTCAGTCTTTTCGCCGAATAAAAAAGAGGGAACCGGCAAGTTGCGGCTGCGCCCCGGGCAGCGGCAGAGAGAGGCTCGTCACTTAACGTGTGTGTGCGTTCAAAAGGAGCCGGGAATTATTCTCACAGCACACTGGCACGACAATGTGGCGTGGGGACTGGCGCACCAGGGAGCACTTGGAGCACTTGGAGCGTGCAGTTGGCAACCTCACACCCAGGGCCGGGGACCAGGGGAAGAATTTTACAAGGGGGAGGAAGTGGCAAAAGTGAGACTCCGCTTTCAGAGATCCCAAAGGGCAAAAGTGAGATCACACCTTCCTACCACAGCTGAAAGGACCCCAACTCTGTCCTCCGATCCCACTTTCAGAGAGATGATCTGCGTCACGCTGCTCGCCGCCCTCGGCCTGGCCGTCGCGGCACCGACACCGGCTCGAACCGACACCGCCTCGCACGAGTCGACACGCCTTGACGCCTCCAAGTTTGCATCAAGCGGTTTCAACGCCTCTGCGATCGAGGACCTGGCCACGCTTCCCACGCTTCCTGGTGTTGAGGACTTCATGAAGACAGGCTACAACGCCTTGAACGGAGATCCAGACAGGTCGCTTCCCAGCAGCTCGGTCTTCGACTTCGAGTACACCGGGACGTACAGTTTTGGGTCGGCAACGTTTGCGATTCCCGAGCGTCTCGTCACCCCGCAGGGTACACCAACTTGTGCCGCGGATTCCACCACCTACAGCGATATCTACACCACCTTCGAGTCCTCACTCCGGTCGCAGGCAAAGAGCTTTCAAGGCGGCTACGAGCAGGAGAGCGACTGGTCGCTGTCGGTGCCTATCAAATCTGCGGAGTTGGAGGGGAAGACCACCTTTAGGAATGCCCTCCAGTTCGGCTCCTCCTCTGCGTCCACTTCTTACCAGAGCAAGTACGAGCAGGGGTTCACGCAGGGCTTTAGTGCCGAGGTCAAGGCATCGGCCTTCGATGCAAGGCTCAGCCTCAGCGCGGTGACAGAGGACGACTTCAACCAGCATTTCGTGGACTTCGTCAAGGCGCTCGGCGACGCACCATCCCTTCACGCGGCGCTCGATTTCTTCGATGAATTCGGCACTCACGTGGTAGATCGGATGAGGATCGGCGGATACCAGCGGCATTCCGCATTGTTCACTTCCGAGGAGTCCCAGGAAACCGTGTATCAGTACAAACAACGCTCGACCAGCTCCGGCTTCAGCATTTTGAACATCGGATTCGGCAGTGATCGACAGGAGATGACGGAGGGCATTGAGGTGACCGAGGAGGGAACCACATACTACAGGTCATCGCTGCTGGTCGTTGGCGGCAACTCGAACGCGGACTCCGCCGGGGCGTACTGCGATTCCATCCACAACCTCGCGCTCGAGGGGAACGGGGTGGCCACTGTCCTCGGGAGGAGGATGACGCCAATCTACGAGCTAGTGACCAAGGTGAACGGCGTTTCAAACGCCACACGGGACAAGCTGGAGGAGCACCTGACGTTCATTGCCGACCCTCACGATAAAAATGACGAACCCGTGCGCTGCAAGTGGGACTCGGACGCCGTGTGCACCTGGGACAATGTTCAGCGCAAGCATAACTGCGACAGCGCGTGCGTGTGCCTCGTCGATCGCGAGGGGGCAGGCGACTACCATGTCGAGGACCCCTGCGGGAAGCGCGTCCGCTACGGTGCGAGCTACAACATGGCGACCCAAGATCAAGCCGGCCCATTCTGGCTCACCGGTGCGCGGGAGTGGCAGGGCAACCTCAACATCGGCGATCGCGCCTACACCCAAAACATCTACTTCGAGGCTCCGGCGCTCGTCGGCGATGGATACTGCGACGAACGCAGAGAGTCGACGAAGTTGGGGGGCTTCACCTTTACCTCATGTGCAGAGCGCTGCGTCACCAAAAGCTGGTGCCATTCCTTCATGTTCCAAGACGACTCGACCGGGTATTGCATCCTCTCGGACTCAGTCGACTGTGCCTCGCGCACGACGAACAGATTTCCATGGAAGTCGTACAAAAAAGGCAATCCGTGGAGTGGCACAGCGGACAGCTACAAGTGGATCATTCGTTCCCAGCCTGGCAATGGGGACCTTTCGTACGAAGACCCCCGCGCCTCGGAAGGTTCTTGCGTCAAATACGGTGACAGGGTTTACCTGCAGGTGATGTCCGCAGAACGCCGCTGGCTCTCGGGCGGCAGTTCCTCCGGCGGCGGGTCTACTGACCGGCGGGTAAGGGTTTACGACATGCTCGCCCGGGGGGAAGGAAATCCGCAGCGGGGCGATCCGCACTACCAGTGGACCGTGCGTTCGTCCCCCCCGCCGCTCTGCTGGGAGGCCGCCCCCGCGGGCAGCAGCTGGTGCGGCCTCAGCCACCCGGGCCAAGCGGATTACACGCTGGAGAGCGGCGCGGCCTACGGCGACAACTGGAGGCGTACCTCGAATGGCTGGCGATTCTGCGGGCTGACGCTGGAGGCGTGCAAGGCGGCCTGCATCGGCATGGGCGGATGCCGAGAGCTCAACGTGGTGAGCTCTAACGGGTGCTGTTTTCCGGCGAGGAGCGTCTGCGACGGCGACGAGCGGCCCGATGACACGAAGCTGGTGGCGTCCACGTGCACAGAGGCGCCTCCCCTCGTTGATCCACGCCAGGGCCAATGCGTCAGCCTCAACGACAAGGTGTACCTACAGGTCAACAGCCTGGGCGACATGGGCGAATACTACTGGCTCATGGGCGAAACCAGCGGCGGCGACATGAACGTGTACAATGTCGACATGAACGTGTACTGGGACAACCCGAACCTCTTGCGGCGCTGGACGATCACGAGGGCCATTCTCTAGGGGCCACACCGTGTTCAATACGGCCTCGCGCGCGCCCATGACTCCATTGAGAGTCCATTGTGCTTGTTTACTAGAGTGCGCGTCGCCCATCGTGTTCACTAGTGCGAATGTGTGTCCAATACAGTCTGTTCCACTAGTGCGAATGTGTGTCCAATACAGTCTGTTCACACTAGTGCGAATGTGTGTCCAGTAGAGTCCCAGCAGTGTCCATTTGAAAGCCAATGTGAGGTTGTCGTCACTGCGAACGAACGGAACACACATGGGAACACAGATGGCTTGCCGTTCGCTCGATGGCTTCGGGACGCCCGGATGAAGAAGTGGCTCAGCGACACGCGGCAGCGCTGTCGACACGGTTTTTTGACGTCACGACTCTCGCCTCAAGCTGTGTTCCTCGCCGCGGTGCTCCGCGGTCGCCGCCTGCCCGGCGTCGCGGGCTCATATCGCCGCCGCCAAAAAGGAAGAAGCACCCCTTCTCGCGGGGAAAAGGGGTTTTAAGGGGGAAAAGGCGGACCCCCCCCCCCCCCCCCCCCGACCTCCCCCCAGCCACATCTCGACTCTGCACCTCTTGCTCTGCACCTCTTGCTCTGCATCTCCGGCTGCACCTCTTGCTCCGCACCTCTTGCTCTGCATCTCCGCTCTGCATCTCTGCTCTGCACCTCTTGCTCTGCCTCTCCGGCTGCATCTCTGCTCCGCATCTCTTGCGTCCTCTCGCGGCGGGGAGGCGCGCCAGCAGCGCCAGGCCGACCAGCGCCCACCCGAGGGAGCTGATCCAGCTCGTCTGTCCGCCGCCCGCCTACGAGGCCAGACTCGGCGGCACTGAGAGTGTGTATGGGCCGGGCGAGCCACGCGCGGCGGCCTCGGCCGGCGTCTCGGCCGCGGCGGGGGCGAAGGAGACGTAGATGGAGGGGGCGGAGTCGAAGGAGGCCGTCTTCGCGTCTGCTGCGAAGAGGGTGGCGTTGTACACCACGAGCCGGAGGGGCCACGCGGAGCTCGCCTGCTGCAGCGCCCGCCGCCCGCCCTTCGGAGCCGCAGGCGCCTTGAAGGTGAGGGTGAGGTCGTACCGGTCCTGGGCCGCATCCACCTTGACGGTCTCGGAGCGAGGGACGGCGGCGGCGGCCGGCCCGTGGCTCGGACCGCTGACGCCGCCGTACGCGTAGTTGTGCGAGTAGTGGTGGTGGTGCGAGTGGGAGATGAGGGAGAGCGTCATGCCTACAGTCGTACGTCCCCTCCCCTACCCCCACGGTACCGAACCCTCGAGATGAGGGAGAGCGGCATGCCCATCATCATCGCGTGCGAGAAGGCGTTGTAGTGATAGACCTGCGGGCGAGGGGAGGCGGGAGAGGTGTCTGGCCGAGGTGTGCACGGGCGAGATCTGGCCGAGGTACGCAGGCGAGAGATGTTCGGGAGATGTTCGGGAGATAGCCGAGAGAGTGGCAGACTAGCAAGAGGGGGCGGGCGGGTCGTCCAGCTGGCTGGGGAGTGCGTGGCAGAATATGGGGAGATATGGGGGAGATGTGGGGGAGATATGGGTGAGATGTGGGGGGGATGAGTGTTGACTGGGCTGCAGAGATGCAGCGATGCGGTGCTGGCACTGGCCCGGGGGAGACGTGGGGAGATATGGGGGAGGTGTGGGGAGGTGTGGGGAGGTGTGGGGAGATGTGTTTGGTCACCGGCCCGCCGACGTAGAAGGGCATGCCGCCGTAGTAGTAGAAGTGGGTGGGCGAGTAGTAGTAGGGCGAGGCGACGCCGTACGAGTAGACTGGCGTGCGGCCTGCGGGGACGGGTCAGGGACGGGTCAGGGACGGGTCAGGGACGTGTCAGGGACGCGTCA